CGATAGTCGAGAGAAAAAAAACGACGAACGGTGGAAATGCACGCTTTTGACGCGGACGAGCCTAAGCGCGGACTGCGAAAATGTGCGCGCGAGGGAACGAATGAGAGAGACCCGCCCAATCGCGACGGCTAACGCTAACTTCAGCGCGAAAGCGTCGTGAAGGAGAAGGAAATCGTTCGGTTATCATCAAGAAAGACGACCGCGGTGTCTTCTTTCTCTTTGTATGTATGTATGTACGTGCATACGAAGGAAAAAGAACGAATAGAATACAGAGAGGGAGAAAGAAAGAAAGAAAGAGAGAGAGAGAGAGACTAGAGTACACGGACGAGGACGGAGAGAGGGAGAAAACTGGGACGGGTGACTAAAAAAAAATTCACTATCGATCTGCGAACACCCGTGTCGGTCCCGTGTGCCCCGACGGCCGCGTTTTCCCTAGAATAACGAGGTGCGCTGCACCTCGGGTGCAATCGAGTTGCGAGACAAGTGCAGTTTTGACAGGGACAGGCAGACAAGTTTCTATCTCTCTTCGTCGCAGTCTTACCCGTCGGATGCCATCTCGCGTATATCCGGCAGGTTTGCCGTCGGCTGGTTTGTCGTCTTCCTCGTCGCCGCCGTCGTCGTCGTCGTCGTTCTCGTCGTCGTCGCCGTTTTTACCGTCGCCGTCGTTGTCACGACGAGTGCACTGCGACGCGCACTTGGCTTCTTCACTGCACTTCGCCACCTTCTCTTCCTCACCCTTGGCACGTCACCCTCGCCCCGACACGATCACCACCTCGCTTGACACTTCCTCACTGAGACGACGATGACACTCGGATGTCGCAACGTCCCATTTCCGCGAGCGCGAGCAGCGACGCGGCCCCTTCATGGCAGCCTCGCGACAGCCATCTTTTTTCTTCGTCGCTTAGTTCGTGGTTTTAGTTCTCGCCGTGCCGCCGCCAGCACTCCTCGCGGATAGTGACAAAAATTCGCACGCGCATGTCGCATGTACCCTCTCCTCTTCCTCATCCTCCGTTGGTTCCGCCAACCCCTCCTCCCACTCTCTTTTGCCGTCGCGATTAACTACGCGCGATCGAGCGAGTAATTAATCAAATTGCGACCTTTAAAATCCGCACGTTGCCGATCGTTGAAACTGTAGAAAGCGATTTCGTATAATTGCGATTCTTATCGACTCGCATCGATAAGATATACCTAATTCAAAATGACGATTATCGCGATTGTTCAATAATGAACCATTTTCTGAAGAAAGCGAAAGTCCTAATTGCATATATAATCATTATTATCTTTTTAATTTATTAATCAATATAATATTATTGGAGATTTCTCATACCTTTAGTTTAATAATGTAATTCTTGTCATTAATTAATAAAAATTGAAAATAAATGGAAAATTCCGACGAGTTTCTCGACATCGATGTTTCCCGAAGTTAGAAAAATAAATAGCGACATCTGTGAAACTCTGAGGGAAATCGCGATCTCTCCCCTGATATTTCAGTCGCTGCATTCGTGCAGATTCATGCGCCTATTATGCTTCATGACGTACTTTTTGTTGATTGTGAATGCACGCATACTAGGCACTGCTAGGCACGGCAGTTAATGTATGAAACTTGACGTGATTAACGTTAAAGGAAGAAGAAATTTGTGTTTTTGTGCCCAAGTATTTTTTTTTTCCAGTCTTAACGTTAATATCATCAAGAGTATAATTGTCGCGGTAATCATTATGGATCAAGAGGATGTTTTAACGATACTGAAGATTCTTATAATAGGTGAATCTAACGTTGGAAAATCGAGGTACTTGGAAATGCGTCTCATCGTTTCACTTTTTACGCTCTCACTTGAGATTAATCATGATGCAATGTCGTTTTCAGCATACTCCTCAGGTTCACAGAGGATGAATTCTGCGAGAATATGCAAAGCACAGTCGGAATGGATTACAAAACCAAACAGATAACTCTCGATGGCAATACAGTGAAACTCGCGATTTGGGTTTGTAATTGTTGTTACTTGCAGAGAGAAGATAATATAATCTATGTTATGTATTACGTATCTCAAATTTACCAACACATGTTATTTTTTTATAGGATACTGCAGGCCAAGAACGATTTCGTACTTTAACACCAAGTTACTACAGAGATGGCCAGGGTGCTATTTTAATGTACGATGTTACGGATCGAAACACATTTGTAAAATTGGAGACATGGCTCAATGAATTGAATACATACTGCAATAGAACGGATATTGTCAAGATGGTAGTAGGTAATAAAATAGATCTGCCAAATAGGGAAGTGAGCACTGAGGAAGGTCTGCAGTTTGCCAGAAGACATCAGACTCTATACATCGAGAGTAGTGCAAAAACAGCTGATGGAGTAAAATGCTGCTTTGAAGAACTTGTACAAAAGGTCAGAACTTATACTACTATTATAGCTCTATATTCTATGAATATTCCCTTCACTAAAAAAAGAAAAAAAATATTTACATAGTTTTCTATATTATTAATAACATATATAATATATATATATATAAGATGTAATATTGGCACAACAGATAATACAGACACCTGGTCTTTGGGATACTCACTCTACACGATTATACGATAACGGCACCATGAGTGCTTCAAGGTATCGAGTCGGAAAAAGAGGAATGCAGTTAGCCAACGACTATCAATCTCGATCACCCACTGAGCAACCATTATCAAATTGTTATTGCAGTTTATTGTAATCGTGGTATTATGAGAAAGTGCATGCACAAGTTTACAACAAATGTATGCACAATATGTTAAGGTTGAGACTCTACACACAAAAAAAAATAAATAAATTCCGAGAAGCAACGCGGGAGAGATCACGTACAATATATCATCACTTCATACGCGCTATGCACTCGGATCTTACAAAACTTATTAGGAAATAATTTTGTAAGATGCATGTATCCACTTATATCACATACACACATTAACTATAATTGGAAACTAAGTCTTGAATCTGGTATAAATATTTATGGCGCAAAAGATTTAATGAAATTTTGTGTTGGTGTAAACACAATTAATGTATATTGAAGAAATAATTTTAGATATTGAATGATACATTTCTATAAACCATAAATATTCTGTTCACATTTTTTTACAAGTAAAATTCGACAATTTTTATAATCTTCAGTTATATGTATCATTTTACATTGTGCACAATATTTGCGCTTGATGCATATTATTGTTGTTACATCTGAAAAATGTGTATTATACTGTAAAAATGTACCTAGGAATCCTGCTTTGTTACTATGTTTATATTGTGCTAATTTTTAGATTCTATAATCTCATTAGGAATATATGCTGTGCCGAAAAAATGGGGAGTATATATTTCACAGAGATTTCACTAAACAATGGTGATATTATATATAAATTGATACATTAGTTCTATAACTTATTCTCTATATGTAAATAAAAAATTTTCTGGATATGTGTTATATACATTATTATTGTTTTAACATAAAACAAATTTCTGTCACACATAACCAGTTCATAACAATTGCCTAAATAATTAGCTCGTATTTTGACATTTGAAACGATATCTTTATAAAATGATTCAAATTTACAATTTTGTTTAACTCGCATCTTTCTGGAAATGTCACAAAATATAATAGACGAAGACGCACATACATTTCGTGAAACAAAACTATGTATAAAAGTGACAAATAAAGGGATGTTCATCAATGGCAGCTGGAGCAATGAGAAATTGCTCAACTTACTCAAGGATAAACTTGTACAACGTGACAAAATTAAATCTTTACCTGTGTATACTGATGGGCAATATGATGTATCGTTTAATAAATCATTACAGTTTATTATCCACAGTGGAATATACAACGAATGTGTCTTACTAGAACTGGAAGGGAAAGGTAATTGCGGCACTTTTTTCTTTTAGATTTTGTTCTTTTTTCATCGTTTACACATTGAACGATAAATTTTAGGCATGTCGCCACACAGCATCATGAAGGCACTCAAATATGGTCTTCTTAGTCTCACTTCCGAAGAACAGAAATATTTTCAAGATTTTGAAACAGAAATGAAAGATACATGGACAAAGAAAAAATTTGACGAGAAATTGATTTGGAATCTGATCGTTGCTGGATTAACTGAAAATCAATGTTGGAATATTATTCTGTGTGGGCTGGTGTCTCAGGATGAAAATATATTATATCGACTTTTATCGAACGGCATCGATGTCCCAGGAATTTTGAGCTGGCCGGGGAAATCAAAACCAGTTACACCAACAATGATTCGTTTCTTAAAAAAGCTTGGAATGGACGAAGATACTCTTTCTTATGTAAAAGAGAACGGTATCGATGATGAAGATGAAGATATGCTAATTGATCTCGGATATAATGAATACAAAGAAAAGGAAGTTTTAGAAGTAAGATATTTTTTCCTAAGTAATTTCAAAGAATATAAAACGTATTACACATACATATAGAAATGAATAATCTATATCAAAAATTAAAATAATCTACAGGAAGTATTATGTGAATGCAATCTGACTATATTGGAATCGCATTCTACTCTCCTGGAAGCACAAACAGCATCTGACACTGCATCTGGTAGTCCTTCGTTAAAGTCATTTTCTTCCTGTATTTTAAATAAAGCAACTCCTTTATCGAATGTTTCTACCTCTACACAGTACCATTTTGCCGCTTGCACCTGTTATTTGAATTTATTGCCAAAAGAAAAGGATGGTGAAAGTCTGAAGAGAAACGATTACTTAAGGTATTTAATAGTCTTTTAAAATAAAGAATAAAAATTTAAGATACAATAATGTGTATAATAGATACACATTATAATGTGTATCTATTATATAATTAATGTAAAATCCATATGCATAGACAAAATGTAATGGTGCCATTATCATGGGCAATAAGTAGAGCTTTAAGATATGAGCCTTCAGATCCTATTCATTACATAGCCCAACAATTGTTACGTTGGAAATATGATAATGTTCCACAAGAGGAAGTACATAATGCTCACCAGTTTGTCGCTTCTGTTACAATAATAATGGATCAAAGACTTATGGTAAAAGAAAATATTTGACATTAATAATGAATGTACTGATGTAATTTTGTTGATATAAGAAAGATCGATTTTAGTTCATTACCATTGTAATATTAATTAGAAAAAACGTAAGCGTGAAGAAGAAGATGCTGTTAGACGCTTAAATGAAGCTGCTATGAAAGATATTATTTGCGATGTATGTTTAGAGCGACAAAAATTGTATCGCATTAAAGAGCGTTGTTGGAAATGTACAAGAGTGCCAATATCAGCGCAAGCAAAATAAGTTTGCAAAAAGAAGCGGTATCATGAATAGCGGGAAAAAAAATTAAGCTATTTTAAAAATTGTTAAAAAGATTGTTAATAAATAATTATATAAGATTTCTTCTAAAAGTTACTAAAGAAGGCAATGTAAATTTTTTAAAAAATTCGTTTATTTCGTATTTGGACTTGTACATTTATCTCAAGTTTATCAGAACAATATTTCAATGCGAAGATCGCACGAGAGTATTATGTGGAACGGAATGGAATGAATGTCTGGCATCACAATAAATTCATAATACATCCTGGCAGTGATCGGTATTGTAAGTTCATTGGTACAAGAAGGTACTAAACGCACTTTCTGATTCATTTAATCTTAATCTTAGTGTGTACTCGACCAAACATTTTTAACGCATCTACGACAATGGTATATGAGAAATGTGTGCTATACGATTTATCTTGAAAGAAAAATACCCTAAAATGCGAGATACGTATATATCAGTCGCCTAAAAATTCATTACTAATACAGCGAAAAAACTCATGACTCTTCCACAGCTCTCTTTTATCACTTTATACAGAATTCATTAAAATTAATAGTAATTAATAATAGATTCTATATAATTCTATATAATATAAAAAATTTATTATAATAGATCATATATAAAATTTATTATTATAATAAAAATAAAATTAAATGATATACGTATCTTCCCTCTATCTATAAGTGACATTTTACATAGAGAAAAAAAAATCATTAAATAATTTTCCTATGAAGTTTTAACGAAATACATATCAAAAGATGTAAAATTCACATACAATTGTTAAAATATTACCTACTTGAATAATAGCTCATTCGCGTTAATTATGTACAAGGATTATTCTTGTACATGATTTATAAAAACGATTCCTGCAGATGTAATGATTCAGGTACTACTGTGATGAATCAATGATATAAACTATTTGAATATGTAAATTGGTTAAGAAAGACAAATTGATAAAAATAAAGGCAATTACTGCTAAATTCTATAACGTTCTCTTTTCAGTGTTCTCTCTCCAGTTTCTTCATACAAATAACTATTTCCCTTCTGGTGAAAATTACGACAAACTTCAATAAAATAGCAACGTATCAAAATATATCTTTTTGCATCTATCTTGTTTGGTCTATATCCTGAGCTGCTAACAGAATGGGTCTCAAATGTTACACAGATCGACTTTCATTCGCGCGCGTTAAGTAAAAAGTGGAAGTACAAAGTAGAGTAATAGCTAATCCTATATTTCTCCTGGACGTTTCGTGGCAATCTACTGTTATCATTCCCGGATACTCCGTTAAAACTAGTCAAACCGGTAGCTGTGACTCGCTGAAAGCGAGTCTTCCTTCCGATTCGATTATCTGTATAGTGTTGCGAATAGAAATTCATTTGCGCAAACGAGAAATACACTTTTCATACCTTAAACAGAGTATATTTGTAGCTTATTAATCTTGGCCCTTTCCTCCTCGGTATCGTCTCGGCAGATCATAAGCGTATGAGATAAACCGCATGTAACAGCGGTAATGTATAAACCTTCCAAGGCTTTCACTTCCATCGGAGTAGTCGATGACTTTCGCATTTCACCAAAACCCTAGGAAAAAACAAATTATATATTATATCAGAAAACAATTAGAATATCTCCAGTTATACAATTTTTGAATATATAATTCAAGATATCCTATATATTTAAGTATCTGTAACTTACCAATTCTCCGAATGTAGGACTGGCACCCCATGCGATAACGGAATCATCGGCCGCGACCACCACGCTTGTCTGCGAGCAACCGACACATCGGATCTCCCAGCCGGATAAATCCTGAATAGGCTTGGGATACATGTTGGCCTCGCCAGTGCGCTTGGTCTGGCCGAACATTAAGGCGGAGCCGTGTACATTGATCGCGATGCTGTATGTGCTACCGCAATATACTGCACGGACACCGCGATTGGGCGGCTCCAGAAACTTGATCAGGCGCGGTACCAATTCATCGCGCTGCTCGTTATGGCCCAGACGGCCGATTCCACCAAATCCCCAGGAGAATGCACAATTTTTGCTGTCGATAGCGACGGTGTGATAATGACCGCAGTTGAAATCCGTGATCTCGACGCGATCCAACGGTATCGCGTGGCCATCCTTACCTCTCTCGACGTACAAAACAATACGCTTAGGCACTTTCTCGTAATGAAATGCCATCTTTGTATTCGTGACAAAGTATTTGCCATCCGTATTGTGGCCCAAGGCGCCATACTCCGGACATCCAAATGAATGCAAGCCGCCCTTAATGTCCAGGATCATTGAGAACTCTGCGCCACATCCCACTTTTACTATCGGCGGTCCAGAGTACTTCACCTTGCTGGCGGTTACAATACAGGGGTCATTCTTGCCCACCCCACATTGACCCAGTTTATTGTCACCAGCGGCAAAAACTATACCGCGACTCGTCAAAAATAAAGTATGATTGCGACCACACGACGCCCCTATAACTGTGTGTCCTTTTAAGGCTTCGACTTCAGTCGGCTCGTCGCGACGTTTTGTATCCCCGACGCCCAATTGACCTATTATAAATAACAAAGTCTTAACGCAATGATGGTGCATTGATAAAAAAGAAGTAGCCATTTATGTATGCAAAGTACAAATGGATATTAATATACATCAAATTTGAATTACTTTTAACACATGAAATATAAAATGTTAATGCAACATTTATCCTGTACCAGAGTAAAATGTGTATACAGATTTGTTAATTTTTAAAAGAAAAGAATATGTACTTTTACATATAGTTACCTTTATAGCATTGTATAATTTACCTTTATCATTTCTACCAAATGCCAAGCATTTATCATCTTCAGTAACAATAATGCTGTGGGAAGCAGCGGGACCAGACGCAATCAATCGTACTCTTGCATTATTCAAGTTTTTAAAGGTATGCGGCGTCCATAGGCTACGCCCTACATTTGCTTTTACCCCTTTAGGCGGTGCTTTGCGACCAGCCATTTCCCAATTAGTAAGGCCACACATGAGCAATGTTCCAGGCTTGCCCCAGCCACCCTAATAAGAAAACAGATTTCATAGTTATTTTTGTTGTATTTTTAATAGATATTTTATCAAATGCATTTTTTTATAAGTTTAATAAAAAAACATAAATTTTTGTATATTATACTAGATATAAACAAACTTTAACAAAAAAAGTATATCTAGTTTAAGTTTCAATTTGCAAAGATTAATTTATAATAAAAATTAAATATCTTCAATTTTACAGCTTATAAAATAAACAATTATGAAGAATTAGAAAATTACTAATTTTAACAATTAATGCAATTCTAAAATATCAACAATTAACTTTGATACATAAATGTATATTAATTCTACATATCTAAATATTCGATATTTTCAAACGTGTCAAAAATAATTTTAAATTCATGACAATTATAATCGCCGTTCAAAGATACAATGTAACGCAAGGAAACGGAACTGTTTTCCGCGTCGCGTCGCGGAACCGGGTGGGAGGCATGCTTATAGAATCTAGGGGAGAAAAAAAAGAAAACGAAGCGAGGATCTCACCTCCGGGGCCGGCAGTTCGGGTATATCGGAGACATCGGCGAGCGTATCCTCGGCAACGGCATCCTCGCCGTCGACGTTAGAGCCGGCCTCGGCGTCCTCGACCTCAGATTCATGCTCGCTCGAAATGTCCTCCTCATCGTATTCGACTTTGCGCGACTTGGGACGGTTCTTCGACGTGCCGCCAGACGTGCTCTTTCGCTTGGTCGACATCGCCAACGACAGTCTCGGTTCTCCGCGGAAGGTGAGCGATGGTGAAAAGGGAAGGTCAACGGAAGGGAAATTCGACGGCGTTCACGCTCGCGACCGCCGCGGTGACATTTATCGATGTAATGGCGCTGAGGCTGAGGGAGCCGTGCCGCGCCGCCGACAGCGGCAAATCGACAACAAAAACGCGGCCACCTGGCGCTCAAAAATCATAATAAAACCACGCTTCCGCGGATAACTACATACATACATACATACATACAAAGCGACCGCGCAGTTTATGATTGTAAATCGCCGGCGTTCCGCGTTCCATGCGTCCCGTTCGAGCGGAACATCGCGGAATCGCATCGCGTCGAAGACGGGCGGGAAAATTTGAACCGCGACGCGTTTTCTCGATTGCGATACCCGAGTTTAAATCAAGAGTTTCTCGTCGTACACGCACAATTGCTGCCGTCAATGGGGATGTAATACGAGATGAGAAACGAATAACAGCAAAAAATTCGAACGCGATGACAGATATTTGAGCACGTGCGATGCGTTTAGGTTTGACACGCGCAACAGGTTACGCTGCATTATTATGCGCGAACGCGCTAGATGACTATACTTTGGCGCAGCACGCTTATTGTTAGACTGAATACCATAATAACAGATTTGAAATGCATCGAGTTGTGCGAGAATTACGCTTTCACACGTGGCTGTATTTTTATTCGAAAATTAATATATATTATTCAATCTTGTTTATTTTTTCTTTACATATATATTATTATTAATATTGTGAATATTATTGTTAATATATTATTTTTTTATTATGATAAGTATTATTATTATATTATGTTTATTACGTTATAATATTATTATTATATAGTAAATCATATAAGAATGCGTAATAAAATAATGCAAATAGCAATTTGCATTAATTTACTATAGATGCAGTTTTATTAATTCTCGATTCGTTATGCATTCTCGATACATTTATAATAATACGTTTATTCACATGGATCAGACAAATTTGCATGATATATGATTAACAAGAAAAATTTAATAAGTGCAAAAAAGATAAGTAGCATTCAAAATCATCGATAAGATCGGTGAAAATCCTTTATCAAGATTCCGATATTAGCATTTCATCATTTATGTTGCAACCGAATTTCGCGGCCAAAGGTTACTGACATAATACAAAGAAAAGAGATTATACATTGATATACGAAGAAGATTATTATCTCAAGGATGAAAATTGAAAAATTTCCATTGCATTGTTGATCATATATCATATTGATAATCTATCAAAGTATAAAAGAAACTATGATTAAACTGCACGTGAATCGTGGAAGATGAAGTAAGATAAGCGAAGGTACGAGATATATAGGATAACTATATACATACATAATCTTACGGTAATCTTCTCTATTTGGAAAAATACTAATAATGCGACGTAACCAGATTTATCAAAGAAATGTAAGGATATTTGCAATTGCTCGTTTCTTCACATATACTTAATATACAGTAAAGTGTTATAAAAGTCTATTTCCAATAAGAAATATTAGATACTTCTGATTTTATGTACATTTTCCAAAGGTTTAACGTAACATTTTATAAAATTGTTGAAATATCATATATCTAATAGGACATTATTTTTACAATATTTTCAAATATTGTAAAAATATTTTAGAAATCTTTTACATATATATATATATTCGAAATATTATCTTTTACATGTTATTCTATAGTCGGCCTACAATAATGTTAATACACACACACAACATTGAGAATTACACTAAAAATATTATATGTTACTGAATAACGCTTTGTAATCGTATCAATGATTTTTTGCTTACCGGGCTATTTATTCTTATCGCGTTCTCATTAATGAAAGAAACGTGGCGATGAACGATGGTGACACGAGCTATTTGTTATCGATGAATCGCGTATTTCCGTAGATTGTTTGCGCGATGTTGAATTTATTTGTGTGTTTGTATTTATGTCCATTAATCGTGTTTGTGCTCACGACGGCGTCTGGCTGGTTAGAAGACTGCGTAATCCCGCCGTCGCCAAATGCCAAACAAAAGCTGTCGAGCAAATAAATAAACTCAATAAGCGATTATTGCGTGCGATAAGGTAGCAATATCGTCGTAGATTGTTTTGGGATACCTGTGGACGAGGACATATGGACATCGTTGCGTGTCCAATGAACCAATTAGTTCTCGTTAATTGCCGCTATATTTCGCAATCTCCATCGCATTTTTCCGCACAAATAATTTATGATTTATGTTGACACACAATTGGCAAGAAAAAGAAACTTTTAGATTCATTCAAGTGTAAACTAACAATTTCACAAAATAGGCTTGTCGACTGGAACATAAAGCATGTGAGCATCTTAATATAATAGTTATATTTAATTTGAATTTTATCAAATCTTTAGGCTCCAATGTTAATACAGTTAAAATCGGAATTAGCAAAATAAAACTTGCGATTGATAACAGAAAGTTTAATTACTATTTCTTAAAAACAGAAACGTCATGAAACAAATATCGCTATAATATTATAATTAATTATTGCCTTGATATTTTCTGTCGATGATTTTATCTGCGCTCTCATTGTTATCGACAGTTTCTTGCACATATCGCATCAAACAAACACAAACAGGAACTAATAGACGACTTATTTATTATTTGGTAAACATCAACAGACAACAAATAGATGCGGATCGCGATAAGGGACCGAAATGGGAAGATAGAATAATCTTACTTGGAATTGCGTTTCATTGCATATATTGTTATGTGTAATTAATAATAATAAACATACATAATAGATATATATAATACATGCTTCGCAACTATTATTTGCGCAGTTACTTCCTTTATTCAGACTAGCCACGAGATTTCATCTCATCACTCAAAATGAGCATCCTATACATGAAATAAAAATATATCATTTTATCGTACTTTTTTGTAATTTCAATAATATTACGGTAAATGAAAACATATACAAAGGAAAAAAACTTACATGTTTCATATAAGATAAAAAAATATCATAGACCATCGTCATAGCATTTATGTAAAGTACTCGATAATGCAAGGGCACAAAGAGAAAGTTGATGCATTGTGTAGGAGGCCAAAAGCAACAATCAACCTAATATAAAATATTTCAATAAATTATTTATATATATTATTATGTATTATATATATAAGAGAAAAATTTTAGTAATAATTTCCGCATTTTAATTAATATTTAATAATTATAGATATTTGCTTTCTTATAAAATTAATGAAATATTAATTAACACACAGGTATTCCTTTGTGTCGTACGTACTTTCCATACGTCGTAAAACTTCAATTTCAGCTCCTTGCAGATTTCCTCGATTTTGCGATGCTCCAGAATTCCGAGGCCGACGAAAAATATTGCCAGACATGTAGGACTCGCGATTGATTGGTCGAGAAGCGTTTTCTTAACTATCGACTTTGCGCTTTTGCCCGGCAAAACTTTGTCTAAAATTATGTAGAACCAATGATGAAACGGGCCTTGAATCAGCCCAACAACTGTCATGTTTCTGGTCCTCGCATAATCGTGTCCGTACACAGACGTGCTGGAAATTGCCGCAGTCTCTTCGTCCTCCGGCGATGCTGCCATAACGCTAGACGGAAAGTATTTGTGAGAATACTTCTTCCAATATTCACTGCGCTGCTGAATTACATCTCCTGCTGCCATCATTAAACCGCAGCTCACGGTATTAGTAATTAACAGATATTTACCTATATAGTGCAAGATACAAAATTATAAATTTATTATACCAATAAGAATATAACATTATATTGTTTAGAAGCAAAAAACATAAACTTACCAAACAATAGTTGACGCAAAATTCCCATTTGTAAAGAATTGTATGTTATAAAAATCTCTGTAATTTGTTGTAAACTTGGATTGTGCTTGAAAGTTCGTTATAATAGATAAAACAGATTGTTCAAAACGGAGAGCTTCTATAACCGCAAATGTTCCTTGGAAATTATATGTATGTAAAAAGAAATTAAAAATCTGTTCTCTGAAACAAATTATTTTTTTCGAGTCGCCATACACGTTATAAAAATAACGCATCAATAGGATAACGTTCGATCCTTGGTTACTTTCGTCTCTAAAATCTGTTTTCCTTTTTTTTAAAAGCTTTTATTGCTATTTAATTAAACGATTCTTCTTAATTCTTCGGTGTTTGTGAAGACGGAATGTTCGCTGGATACTACAGCGTGGCATAACTCTCGAACTGGCTGACTGAAGATTAATTTTCTTCAGGTACAGTATCGGCGGACGCCCCTAGATGTATGATGGAGCTGCACCGATCACCCGAGTTATCATCGTGCATCCAACTGTACTGTTTAGCGAAGTCGCGAGTCCGTTAAATACACGGGACGCCGCAGCAATTAAAAAATCCGTTGGTTGCGCAGTACAAACGACGCGTCTTATCTCTTCCCGATCGCATATTTCTTCAAATTTTCTCTCTTGTCAGATATGATATAATACACAAAGATACAGATTTATCAGAAGCTCATCTCACATGTTCATAAATGCTATTCAATGTAGTAATAGAAAAATGGAACTATGATAACAAAAGCCTCTCTTTCGATATGTATATATCCTTTTAAACTATATCTCATTTAAACATAACATTGTTAGCATAAAAATTTCTCGAATTCCATTTTTATAAAATCTATAGATTCGAAAATTTAGATGATGTAATAAAAGCAAATAAAAATACTCATAAAACTCAAGATTTAATACTAAGACAAGACTTACGATGACATTGTGATTACAAATATTTTATGGAAATAACGTTTTTACCACTGATAAATACAACTCACTTTATATTATAAGTATAATTACAAGGAATTTTCATGAAGTTAATAATAATTGATTGTATTTAAAAATTTTTTTTATTTGCAGTCGAAATTGTACAACTTAATTAGACAATAAGACAAGATATTCTTTTATTATTTAGCCGCAACAGCTTTGGGTTTTGGCAAGCCTTCCCTGAATCCATTCCTATAGATATACGAAATAATTAGAAATGTGTATACACCAATTAATATAACATAAATTAAATAATATAGAACATATCTCTCATTCAACTACAATTAGAAATTAACAAAAAAGTAACAAAACAATTACTACAAAAAATATAATCTTTTCTTGATTGATTTTAATATTCAGTAATTATTGTTTAGGTTTCAAAAATCTAGCCAATTTGACTCACTCAAACTAGAAATTAACAAGAAAATAGCAAAATTACTAAAAAAAATTATATTTTCTTGATTAATCATTTTAATATTCAGTAATTATTGTTTAGATTTTAAAAATCTAACCAGAGTGTAACTTACTTGAATTTGCGGCGAACAATCTTAAGATAACGCATACGGCCGGTACCAGTGGTCTTCCTCCTCTTTGCCTTGACCGACCAATTGTCTGTACAGTCATTTAATAAGAATCCAATTAATATCACTGAATTAAGAACATTAAATATGTTCGATATTCAAATAGACATATGATAGACAGTCCTCTATGTAAATTTATCATACAACGTACATGAACGCATCTTCTTGGCTGGGTAGCCACACTGAGCACACTGTGACTTTTGAATGTGGTAAGAACTACGTCCACATCTTCTGCACAATGTGTGCGTCTTATTACGGCGCTTACCAAAACTGGATGTACCCTTCGTCTGTGAACATTAAAGAGAAACGCACGGTGAATATAACCTGCAGTATTGCACACGATGTCGAAATTTAAATTACAAAAAAAACAATTTGACAACGAACGAGATGAACAAAAGAAATTTACTTCTTTAATAGTAAACGAACGAAAAATACATTCTATAACGATTTAAACGTGTCTGCATATAAACATTTTCATAACCTGTACACTAGTATCAGTATTGTCAGAAAAGATATTTCTCGTCCAATACTATATGGTTATATCAATTCTATATAAATTCAGAACATCTTTTCTATGCCGATAAATCGACCAATTATCAAGATGACTGTAAAATGAATCGATTTGAACAACATAAATTTATCCTTACCATCTTGAGCGAAAGACCTGCAAGAAGAGTTCGAGTCCGAGCATTCCTTCATTCAGGCTATGTTCTGAAATTCACTGCCATTTCAATTCACTTCGTTCCGATACCCCAGGGTGTGTTCGAAAATTTTAGCCATAAGGTAGAGTAACTATTGATCAATCAGGACAAAAGAAACAGAAATTTCTTGGTTTTGATTGGTTAAAACCAGATCTACAATAAATGCAGTAAGCATCTACAATAAATGCCGTAAAGAAATTACCAATCTATTCAAAACAATATATGAAATTAATATTAACATAAAATTACTTATACTTTTATGTCGAAAATTTGCATAGGATCAGACCCTGCTTCTAAATAGATCGAATCCGAAGGATTTATTATTAGTTTCGAAATATCTTCATCGAATGATGACGAAGGTTGCGATACGCGAGACGTATCATTTTTGCATGTAAATTTTTTGCAGGGGATATTAGAAAATTCTTCTTTATATTTTTTATTTTATTTCTTTGTTTCGAATTGATAAAGGCAGCTCTCGTCTATTTCTTGATCGTAACTCCATTTATCAAGGAGTTTTCCTTTTGCTCGGGCAAATGGATAAGTTAATCTATTCAGATGTTCTAATGCGCGCAAGTTTAACAGAAACAATTAAGATGATTGAGATTTTTTTTCCAATTGCGTAATTTTTCTAATAACAAAGATTTGTCAGCGTTGAATGAGAATTTGTCAGCTTTGAATGAGAAAATTTTGTTTGTTAGTGCTACTGCATCGAATTCATAATTAATAGAAGTTATAAATTTTTATATTTCTTCAATTTTTTATTTTCTAATCTATATGCTTTTGCAACAACTCCTCTTATTTTCTTTCTGTAGTTAAAAAATTTGAACTGCATTTTCGTATTTGGGTTTTAGTTCTAAATATTCTTTTTTATTTTCTATTATATTATTTATGCACTGTGGATGATCCAAGAAATCTGTCCAGAAGAAAAAATATATTTATGTGTAATAATTTCTTCATTTTTTTTGTTATTAAAATTCTGCCATTGCTAGTTCGGCTTTTTGGAAGCAGAGTCTGATCTATATATTTACCTCATTTTACTTAATTTTTCAAAATTAATATTTTAAAAATAAAATATAGATAATCATGCAATATAATTTCAAAACGGTACATATTACAAATAAACAAACAATATGTTGCATAACATCAAAATAATACTTATATAGGTAACACTTGTTATATAACATGTTACATCCAAGTTATATTGCCATTTAGTTTATAATAATCAGTAACAAAGCAATATAATATTTGTATAATACATATATACATAGAAAATTATTGCATTATTTCAGTAATTAGGATGGAAAAACAAATATTTCTTATTTTTTATTAAGTAAGCATTTATTATTAACAATATATAATTAAATTTCTATAAGCCTGTCCGCATCAGTGAGCACTTCGCGAGAATGTTGACTGCCAGATGTCACAATGTGTTGAGCTCCGACTAAGCAATCTTTCAATTCGGTACCTTCTTCGATGGTGCAACCATTACACAATATACAATTATGAATAACACATCTGTAAAAAATATGATGGAAATATTGTCAGTACTTATATTTGATGAATATGAGAAAAATCTCGATCAGGATACTCACAATCAGTACTGTTTTGAACTCACCTTTGCTTGATAGTTACATGTCCCATTATCACACTCTGGGATACTCTTGTCTTAGATTCCACAACACTGTTAGGCCCAATATAACTGTGTTTAAGCGACGTTTTCTCTTCAATAGTCGAATTATCATCTACGTGACATTCCTGCATCTGTGTACTGCGTATAGTCGCCGTGCTAGAGATACTTGGCAGCGGTTGTCCGGTATTTTTGCCATCAATGCTCCACCATTCTGATATCTATATAGAATATTATTCTTAAGTTAACACTGCTCTTTCTTTTATGTACTTGTAATAAATATATTAAAATATAATAATAATTTGAAATATATTAAACAATCTTTTTCTTATACAGATTTGTATCTTACTTTAGCATTTGCAAAATGATACATCTGTACAGTGTTTGCTCTAAGACCAAACTTTCCATTTGATATGTGACCATAACATCGTATTATGTCTCCATAATATGCTTCTTCCAAATCAGTGCTATGGTCATTGAACGCTGACATCTCTCTTATCAGTTTGTCTAAAGGTTTTTCCATTGCAAATCGAAAGATATCTTCTTTCAAGTCTACTTGTACCATAGAAGTATTTCTGTCGTCTACAGACTTGGGCCTAGATAACTGTTTGCTAACTATGTATGGCAAAAGTTCACCCTTCAACGTGGTAAAGTTTCTGCAAAAATGTTTTTGATTAAGAATTTAAATTTTTTCAAATATTTCTCATTGGTAAGATTTTACTCACTTATTAAATACCAAAAAGTCTAACACCCATTTATTAATGACATATAAATGTGCATCCATCAATTTGGAGTGAACAGTGAAGCTGGTATGCTTCCTGAGAAGCCTCTGTGAAATATTGAATGTTTCTTCGAAATCAGATGCAGAAGCCAAGAGAACTATTCGTCCTGTATTATTATCGATACCAATTAAATCTGTTTCTGGTTTCTGTTTATTCTTTGGGCCCGGTGTTACAAAGTCATCCGGCACTTTTGGGACAGGCAGCATGAGAGCTGTTATACTTGCATTATGTTTTCTGTATAAATTCAAGATTTTTGATATATCAATATTTGCAATTAGATCGCAAGATATCACCAAGAAATCTGTATATATCTTTTCATGGATAAATCTGATAGAATCGGCCGTGCCAAGATCCTCAGCACCTGGAATCCCTACAATTTCCAACTTGATTTTTAAACCTAATTTATCCAACGCCGCCGATACTTCGGATTTTGTTAATTCGGAAACCACCACGATCGCTTCCTTGAAACCGGAACGCTCGAGAATTTGCAGAGGATACCAGATCATGGGAACGTTTGCGATCGGGAGCAAACATTTCGGTTGACCTGCCGTAAGTTCTGTCATACGAGAACCTTTCCCTCCGGCAAGCACGATGGCTTGGAATTCATTGTAATAAACCATTGTTCTGGTCTGCGTGTAGAGAAGCCTACAATAATCAAAATAAGAAGTATATTATTACAAAATGCTGTTAATTTGCGAATGACATATCGAAAAAAATGTAATATCTATATCAATAAATGCAACTAATACGTATTATCTTACGTTAATGCATTTCACGTGCGATACTATAGTCAAATTATTTATTCCAAGCCGTTCGAACACGTCGGTTTTCATATAGAAAAACAATACTGAAACCTATGCGAGAAGTCTTCCAAAGAAAGGACTGACAAAGAACGCGAATCAGATTATCATCGATCTTACGCGGCCATGTGTTCATACCATGTTCTAACCTAAAAAAAGCAACAAATTCTTTTAACCTAAAAAGTAACGAGTCTTTGCATTTGCACGAGTAGCATTCCTAGTACAATGAATAGCGAGTCCACGGAGAGCGTGATCACGGTGGGCATCCACGTGATAGTCAAGAAGCAGAGCTTCAGTAAAGTATACAAGGTGTCTGAAAATGGTACTCTGATGTTAGGGAAAAATCAGAGGGTGGAGATGCACGAGATCGTCGGCAAACCGTTCTGGAGCACATTTGAGATGGTGCCGAAGCCTGGCAATAAAAATACATATTCATTGAAGCTGGTGGAACGAACGGAATCGTGGAACGATCTGAAAGGCGAGCTGAGCGGACAGGATAATCGCTTTATTACGGATGACGGTATGTCGCAGAAACTATCAAAGGAGGAGATCCTGCGGTTGCAGGAGGACGGTAAGAGCGGCAAGGAGATAATCAGCAGTCTCATTGAGAACAGTGTCTCCTTTGCGGCTAAGACTGAATACTCGCAGGAAAAGTACATCAAAAAAAAGGAACGCAAATACTTCAGATTTCTGAGGATATGCAAACCTACTATAGTGTCACTACACGAGGTATATTTCAGACAGAATCACGAGAAGATCGGCGGCCTGAGAATGGATGCCCTGGCACAGATATTGTCCTACAGCGATGTGCAGGCTGATGGCTTACACATGCTATACGACAGCGGATGTCAGGGATTACCTGCTGCAGCTATGTTGAATAGAATAGGAGAGAATACCAGCGGCTACTTGATCAATTTGCATCCCGGCAATATGCCTCAACTTGCGATTGTTCAGGCTATGAATTTTCCACAAGAGTTAAAAGACAGACACATTGCAGCGAATATTTATAGCTTCCTGAGATTACATTATCAAGGCGAATCGAGTGTGTTAGACAATATTTCCACATCTTCTAAAAAGATTACTGATCATATCATTAAAAGAACACAAGATATTGAGGAACCGGTAGAAAAATTCAATGGAGAAACCAAGAGTGACGAAGTGTCTCAAATGGACACTGAAATTACTGAACTTGAAACTGATACAGGAGAGAATAGTACACTCTCTCTTTGCAACACTCAAAAAGATGCTGATACTTTGAAACGGAAACACGAACCTGAGGAATCTGAAGAAGTAATCCCTGTAAAGAAGCCAAAATGGTTTTTGGAGACACAACGCGCCTTGGATTTATTGAACAGCTCGAAGGTTCGTGGCTTAACCATCGTAGCGAAAGAACATCCTTTAAATATCGTAAACGCCCTGTTACCTTTTCTGGGAGCTTCGCGACCATTCGTCATCTTCCACACGTATCGAGAGCCTCTGCAAGAGACTTACATGGAACTTAAACAGAAACGCAATGTCATAAATGTGAAACTCTTTACAAATTTCTTACGTTCCTATCAAGTATTACCCGACAGGACTCATCCTGATATACTCACAAGTGATACTGGTGGCTATATCTTAACAGGATACTTAGTTCAATAATAAATAAATGTTGAATATATTTTAATATAAAAAGTTGAACAATATGCTAACAAAAAATTATAATTTTTTATGCAAATATAACTAATTATATTTTACACTACATATATTTACAGCATTTATTATTGCATTTTCCTATGTATTTTATAACGATTGCATTCCCTATCCAGATAAAAAATTATCATTTGGCTATTGTATAATATTACATTCTTCTATCAAATTATATACTATTGTATAATATATTGCTTATAATATGTGTTACGCATATTTTTATGTTAATCTCTTTGCAAATACTTTGCAATACTACAATATATTTGTATTGCTCCAATTTTCATCCTCTTTTTTTTTTTCATAATTTATATTTAATATTAAATTTTATTACTTTTCGCTACAACGTTTTTAAACAAGGAACTTGTTAAACGTAAATGACAGTTAATGAAACATTCTTTCTCTTCCCTTTATTTTTTCATTACTTTAAAAAAATCGTGTTAGCCAAATAGAATCATATTTGGCGCCATCGCGCGCCATAATCTCCGGACTTGTTCGTTTCATCGGTTGGCTTTCTCTCCGGTTTGGCAAACTTGGCGAACGTTAGAATTGTGAATTGTCGGAAAGCCTCCATTCGGAGGGTTCCTTTTAGATCTTTTCTCTCTCACGCGGAATTTGAGTCGTACACTTTCCTCGAAGGCTTCCACAGTCTTCTCGTCGCGATCGAGGAAAATGCCGACGAACAGTAATCGCGTTACTTGTACGCAAGTTATTCCGCGGACAAAATCCCTTTCCTTAGGTTAGAACAAGATTATTCCGAGACACCTCAGCTGATCGCGCGCACGACGATCTCGAATCGCAGTTTAAGTTCGCACGCTTGCTGATCTCCGATACCGCGTTATCTTTTCCTCCTTTTTTTCTTTCCGCCAAGAGATAAGAATTTCGCGTTCTTACATCATCATTAACCGTCATTAACGTATTAGTATTGCATCAAGTTTCGCATAGCTGTGCAATATATCGCGATGGCCACCTGGGACGGCTCGTTCCCGGAGGATCCGAATTATTGCACGTATTCCGCTCGAAACGCGGAAGACAATTGGACATACTTCGACGAGAACTCGGCGTATCTGCGAGACGTCTCCACGAGGAACTACTATCCAGGAGCCGGTGGTCAACCAGCCTACGAACAGAATAGACCCGCCGACGCTTTCTATCAGCATCCGTCGAATATGGTGCCTTTAGAAAATACTTATCAGGAACACATACTGCCAAGCTCGTCCGTTGCAAGCGGCTCGCAAATGTCGGATAATTCACGTTCCGTCAACGGTATCGCCTCAGCTTCGCGTAACGCGCCCTTCTTCCGTGACAATCACAAGCCAAGATTCAAGGGCAATAGAACGATCGGTAAGCCTACTTCGTCGGAAGGCGATATCGTCCAGTCCAGCATAGTGCAAAACTCAAATTTACAAGCTACAGCCAACGAATTTGTGCCAAACAGTGTTAGATTGAATAAGAAGGACAGATTTAACAAAAAGGACGATTACAATAACGCGGCGAGAGGCAGCTTTGATGCGCAGGAATTCAGGCCGAGATCAATTAACAAATTTACGTCTTCGTCGGATAATAGGTACAAGGGTGAGAAACGCTATAACAACAGAAAGGATGTAAATTATAGGCAAAAGAATTTGCAAGACACACAGGTTCCATCAAGATCTAAGTATAGGGATACACAGAATAGTGGGAGAAACTATAATAAATTTCAGAATTCCAAATATTATAATAGAAGACATCAATCGGATGCATCATTTGTAGAACAATATGCTACTGGAAAAGCTCGGACACCTACAATTGAGTTCGGTGATTCATTCACGTTGGATAGCCAGGAAAATAAGGCTTCTGCTAAAGAACTTCAGGAGGATGACTTATCCTCGGATGTCGGTAGAAGCAGAGAGGAAACATGCGAGAATAATATTTTGGAGAAAAATGCCTCCTTGAAAGCTCTTGAGACACAACGAAATAATAAACCCAAGCGATTCGCTGACCATGCTAATACGTCTAACTATTATAGATACAATTATAAATACAAACACTATCATAAATACAATTTAGACGATGTACAGTCCGAATCTGGTGATAGATATAAAACTGGAGTTGCTACAAAGTATATACATAAAAGAAACAATGAGGTGACAGCAAATCATAAAGAGAAGAACTTTGAAAATTGGAGAGATAAGACGGAAGATAACGAGGCAGCACGTATACAGGAAAAAAATACGAAAAAAAAACATAAAATCGGTATGGTTATACTATTTCTATCAAAAAAATTAGATTATTATATAAAATAATATAATAGAATAAAAGAGATAATTATTTTATTTTATTCTTGTCAGATGATGACGCGAGTCAAAGGGAAAGATTGACGGAACAATTGAACAGGGGAATATTAGAATGTTTAGTCTGTTACGAGCATATCAAGCAAAGCGAGTACGTTTGGTCTTGCACTAACTGTTACCATGTGTTGCATCTAAAATGCATTAAAAAATGGGCCAAATCATCTCAGAGCGGTAAGTAAGAAATAAATACCTTGTTATTGTGACAAATCATGAAACATAATTATTTATTCAGAGAACGGATGGAAGTGCCCAGCCTGCCGAGACATTAGTTTTCTTGTACCGGAGGATTATTTCTGTTTCTGCGGGAAAAGAAAGATGCCAGAGTGGAATCGCAGGGACGTGGCACACTCGTGTGGCGAGATCTGTGGTCGAAATCTGTCTAAAAACAATTGCACGCACAAATGTACCCTGCTCTGCCATCCCGGTTCTTGTCCGCAATGTGTGGCGATGGTTACAAAGTATTGTGGTTGCGGAAGAATGTCGAAGATGCTGCTATGCAGTGCTCATGAACTGTTGCAGTGCGATTCGATATGCGAAAAAAATCTGTCATGCGGCAAGCACACTTGTCAGAAAAAGTGCCATCAAGGAGAATGTGGGCTTTGCAATGAGACTGTGCAACAAAGTAATATTTTCGTGCTCAAGCATATATTTAATTTTTAAGCTAAGATAATTATCAACGTTATATTAGGGTAGATAGCATTAATAATCAATATATAATTGTAATGATTTTGTTTTTTATTTTATTTAGCTTGTTTTTGTGGTAAGAAAACTCAAGATGTACCTTGCCGAGCAAATGTCACAGATACATATTCCTGTAATAACATCTGTAACAAACCATTGGACTGCGAGAAACATCATTGTCAAAAAGTCTGTCATTCAGAGGCATGCGATCCTTGCTCCTTGACGCCCGAGAGAGTCACGACCTGCTGTTGCGGTCAAACGCCATTAACGGAGAAGAGAGAGAGTTGCTTGGATCCTGTGCCCATCTGTGATAAAATCTGTTCTAAGCGTCTGAAATGCGGTCAGCCTAGTAAGCATCTCAATAATATTGCATACTTTGTGTCTTATTAACGTATATATGCGCTTGGTATATATATGCTTTCGTTCGCGCAGGTAATCCACACATGTGCAAGGCACCGTGCCACGTCGACGAATGTCCGGACTGCGACTTGAACACCGATGTCAAGTGCCGATGCGGTAACATGGACCGCGAGATTGCTTGCAAGGACCTGACAAGTAAAGCCGACGACGCGCGCTGCGAGAAGCGTTGCAAGAAGAAACGATCCTGCGGCAAGCATAATTGCAATCAATTGTGTTGCATCGACATCGAACACATCTGCCCGTTGCCGTGTTCAAAGACATTGAGTTGTGGTCGGCACAAGTGCCAGGAGAGATGTCACATTGGTGAGTGCGCGTTTTACTTGCAGTCGTATATTCACGCACGATATGAGATCGCAGAGCGGAAAACGAATTTCTCCTTTCATCAACAGGGAGATGTTCGCCTTGTTGGCAGAGTAGCTTCGAAGAGTTGTACTGCGAGTGTGGTGCTGAAGTGATCTATCCACCGGTACCGTGCGGTACAAGGAGACCCGTTTGCAATCGGCCATGTTCTCGCGAACATCCTTGCGATCACGAGGTGCTGCACAATTGTCACAGCGAGCCCGCGTGTCCGCCTTGCAGCGTCTTGACCCAGAGATGGTGCCACGGTAAACACGAACTCAGAAAGGCCGTACCATGCCACGTGAAAGAGATCTCGTGCGGTTTACCGTGCAACAAGCCGCTGATGTGCGGACGACATAAATGCATCACGATGTGTCACGCCGGGCCATGTGAAAGACCCGGACAACAATGCATACAACCTTGCAGCACGACGAGAGAGTTATGCGGACATATTTGTGCCGCTCCATGCCACGAAGGCAAGTGTCCGGATACGCCTTGCAAAGAAATGGTTAAGGTAAGAGCAACCTATCCTTATATATCAAGTAATTAGAGAAGCATGCGAAGATAATCGCATACCGTTATATCTCTGGTTATATTGCAGGTTACATGTCAGTGCGGACATAGGACTATGAGTCGTGTTTGCGCTGATAATGCGCGAGAGTATCAACGGATAGCGAGCAACATACTAGCCAGTAAGATGGCCGACATGCAGCTTGGTCATTCTGTCGATTTGGAAGAAGTATTCGGGCAAGGTGCGAAGAAACAGAATCAGCTAAAAACCCTGGAGTGCAACGATGAATGTAAAACAATAGAGAGAAACAGGAGACTCGCGCTGGGACTGCAGATCGTCAATCCCGACTTGAGCGGCAAATTGATGCCCAGATATACTGATTACATGAAACAATGGGCCAAGAAAGATCCGCACTTTTGCCAGATGGTCCACGAGAAACTGACAGAATTGGTCCAACTGGCGAAAACATCTAAGCAGAAGTCTCGAAGTTACTCGTTTGACGTTATGAATAGGGAAAAGCGCCATTTCGTGCATGAGTCGTGTCAACACTTTGGCTGCGAGAGTCAAGCATACGATGAGGAACCGAAAAGAAATGTCGTCGCCACTGCTGTAAAAGATAAGGTGAGAACTCGTTTATTTAACCTCTACGTGTCATCTTTGTAACAAATAAATCGTGTTGTAGTGTTGGCTACCAAGCTATAGTTTATTAGAAATGGTGCAACGGGAGAAGGGACAAAGAAAAGTTCCAGGACCGGTACTTAACGCTTCTAAGGGAAATAGTTCTATAAAGTAAGATATTTACAACGGTTATATGTGGTGATTGAATTAACAAATTAAAATACAATTATATAATTGATTATATATTGTAGGACTGTTCTTTCGTTACCCATAAAACAGAATCAGAAATCACTACCATCGTCATCAACTGCAAAAACAATTGATAAGGAGATAGATTATTTTGACTATCAAGGATGAATCGGTAAATAATAATTAATGTAGAAAACGCAACTATATAATGAACTGTATAATGTGTATCATAAACGGAAGCTTATGGATACAATTGTAATTATACAATGAATAACATGATTTTGTAAGTAGAAATATAAGACACATTATATTGTTATCAATTATTTTCGGTTTTTCTTTTTTTTCATACTGAATGTGAGTTTTAATTAAAGCAAATTCATTAAGTTTATTCTATAAAAATTTAACAATAACAATTTTTTATGTCTACAAAAGATTTTAACGGATTCATTATTGGCAGGAAGGGTATTTTACCGTATAATTCAGAACATTTGAACGATACATCCTTACGAAAATGGCATGAAAAAAAGTGTAATAATGTGAAAAGAACAATCAGCAATATACCTCTTTGCTAAACAAGAGAATAATCTCTGATTTTTTTCTTATTATTCCGAAACTACGAGAGTCAGTCCAAAAGTAAGTTTCCTTGCTCCAATCGACTTCCATCTCTTCCTCTGAAGGCTCACTTAGACGGCCAGCGATTCAATAAAGACAAGTCAAAACGGCGGTCAACAGTTGGCTCGCGAAAAAGGACACGACGTAGTACACACAAAGTGTGCAAAAACTTTTTTCACGGTACGAAAAATATAGAAAAAAGTGGCGATTTTGTAGAAAAATAACAGGAAACTTACTTTTGGACTGGCTCTCGTATATACTCCTTAAGCTTAATCTTTAGTATTATCAAAAGCTCTCGTTATCTTAAATCAATTTCGCGTATTGGTATATAATATCTTAAGTGTAGTTATATGTAGAGAAATTTTCGTTTATACATTAAACAAAGTATTCAAGAGTTTTCCCTTCTCTTTATTTCTACAATATAATATTCTCTTTTTTTCAATAAATCTTTTACATAGTTGTTGATTATATATTAATATTTCTTAAATATAACAATATGATAATCTTGACTAGAATATGATAAAGCAATATAAATGAGCGATTTTTATATTCTATGTTTGACTACTGAGTTACTACAAGACAAACTTCTATTACGCATAGAACGTACATGTACAAAGTATCTAAAAATCAACCGACATCTTTTTATTTGGTCAAAGTTATATTGCTAAGAATAAAGTCAGTGCTCTATATGTGCTACATGATATACATTGATATCTTTTATATTTTTGGGCGTAATATTTCGAGAATGTTTTTCACACAAGAGGCATTTCTTTATAATTCATTGATAATAGTTATGGCAAAATTGATCTTGATTGAGACTGTAGTATATAATATTTATCGTAATTCACAGCTTTATTATATATAAGTAACTATATTTAATTATATACCAAATAGTCATGTGTTAAGAAATTGTTAATTTTTCTAATCAGATGTACACAATAGAGCTATGGTATGAAAAATTTAATAATATATATATTAAAGCTGTGATATACATTACAATCTTTCATCAGTAAAAATAGTGATTATATATGTATATTATAATTTCAAAGTCCTTATCAATTTGATTAAAACGATAGCTGTTGTTTGTTACTGTACATCCAATTGTATATAAATATTTATCTATGCCTATAACTTTTTTGTAGAAGAGTTCTTGTTAGAATAATAAGATCTTTTATCTCTTGTAAACATTTAAAATAGTTAACGAGTATTTGGCACATGAAACATCAATGATATATTTTAGATATATTACTCTACTTTTATTATACTATATAAATTTCAAACAGATAGTTACTAAGAGACCTTTTTTATGCTCCTGTAAGTATTATTACTAGATTTCTCACTTGTTTTATATTTGGTTTTTTTACGGTAAGATTATAACGGAATGATATATATATACTTGTATAAATAGAAAATTGATGTGTATTGAATATATATATAAATGTCTAAATATTTGTACAATATAGTGGTATATTATATACACAATACCACGTAAGCAAAAGAAAATAATTTTAATCGCAGATTTCTACACAAAATATATATATTATTCAAAATTATAAATTAATTATAAATTATATAAATAAATGCCTTGAATGCACGCGCGCGCGGTTTTCGGGAATAAAATATCTAGTCTATCTTAGTGGAAAGCAAAATAAAATGAACACAATTACAATAAAGGTCTATGATATAGCTCTGTTTTTTATCGTAAATTCACTTTTACAGTCTTTTATCTCACGGAATACAGTGTTATTTATAAGCTTACATAAGCGTAAAATGGCCTCCTATTCTAAACACATAAATATTGTATCACATGTAGGATCACAACAAATGTTACAAATTCCACTTGCAGATAAGTCATCTATGTTATTTAGTCATTGTAGTAATTTTGTTGAACATTTAGTAATAGGGCACTTTGAGAATTTGGATTCGTACTTTTTACCTCTAAGCATTGGTGCGGTTGTAAACACATAGTAAAAACGCGTTTTTTCATGTGTTATCAGTAAAAGTCATAGATTATTTTTTAACATTTTTGTTTATATATATATATATATATATACACACACGCCGTCTATTTCTTTTTTTCTCTTTTTTTTTTGTTTTGCTTCGAAAATATTCCTCATGGATTATATATGAGTTTAAAAAATGATATATATTTCAACAGCAGAAAAAATATATATATATATATGTACGCGTATTTTTCTGAAGAATACGGTGAAAGTTATTAAATTAATTCATCGGAAAACTAATCTAATGTAAAAAATAGATATCTGTTTTCGCGATATACATACCTCAAATGAACACTTTGCACGAGAAGTGGATTTTAGAAATATTACTATTGCACCAACTATCAGATGTTGTTTAAACACATATCTCGTGTTTATAAAATATTATATTGATCTATTGCTATGTTTTTAGTACATTTTACGAGACTCTGTCTCATCTCATGTATTGATATCAATGCCTTTATATACGATCTTTGATAGAAATTGCTACCAATTCATGATTATGATTATTTGTGTGAAAATAAGAGTATCATTAAATTTTATATAACACAATTCTTTTCGATTAAAAATATTTCTTAGAATTAGCATTAAAGAGAATAACAAATGTAAATGTACCGTAGTCAGGATTTCGAGATATATGATATATGTATATGATGTATGTGCATGTGCGCGATGTGTATGTAATATACATATATATGTATATATATAAAACATACGTATATATGTGTATATACATATAAAACATATGTATAAACGTAAGCGTGTACGTAAAATTTGATTATTTAAAATAATCAAGGAATATCACATCACAAAATATATTAATCTTCGTTTGAAGAAATGATATTAAAATCTGGTAAAATAAATGAAAAGAATTGTCGTTTGGCATCTTCATTCTTTGAATTACGACTAAATGGACTATTGCTTCATATGTAAGGATTATTTCCCCGTTTTACGCGTGGGGAATAATTAGGATAACTACTCAGATATTGATGTCGCGGACTTACTGACGGCTGTTTAGTTATACTCGCCATGGTGCAGCCCATCACAAGTTCAAATGCTCTTGATATCGTTTGATACAACAGCCATGGCCACGGCTTGGGAAATTGTGTCAGTGCCGGTTCTACACCATATCGTACAGTTTCAGCGAAGAGTCCTTAAGAACAAATTAATTATATTAGAATTATTTTACTCATACATTACCTTTAAAAGAGATATCAGTAAAACGTTTCGTTTTTACTTTTGTGTTATTGTGTTATTCTAATTATATTTAATAACTATATTAAATATATACCATATGGTCCAAAAATACGAAAGGCGTCCATGACACACAGAAGAATCCCTAGAATTGCAGTGGCACGAGTGACATTTAATACTCTTCGCACCTGAGATTTTCTAGCAGCGGCGGTGTCCGCTTCCGGTATATGCAATGGCGTGTCGGATTTTGCTCGGTTCACATACGCGATATGATTCAGTATCGAATGAAGAGTAAAATCCGTGCCCTGCAAATAATGCGCGTACATTGCTTTGTCGTGGAGTTTCAATCGACTCTAGAAAAACATCTAAAAAAACGTCGAAGAACGCATGTTTTGCTTTCTATAGATTCAGTGCGATAATAAGTCGTACCATAACTCTTGCTTCATTAGGCGTTTCAGGAAGCAAGTTAGTTTCCGCCGTGATATTCTCCGGGTCTTCAATGTTTTTGTCATTCCATGACAGATTCTTTTTGCGTGCTTTCGTCTCTTCGTCCTTTCTCTTCGAATTCATATCCTTCATCAGCGCCGCCTTCTCGCTGCAATCAGGTTGATCCGAATCTGATTCGGACTTCTCCTGCGTCTCCATCTTTACAGGTACTATACTCTGAAAGTGCGTGGGACTCCTGTCCAAGGTTCTGATGCTGATATCGCTACTTCGACGATTTATAATTAACGGCTTAATATGAACGAACTCGGAGTTACGTCGATAGCAACTCTCAGAATTTCTACGCGAGTCAGGTCGAGACGATGCGAAGCTACCAATATCGGAATTGCGTCTTGAACCTGAAATATTGTCAAACAATATGTAGATAAAAGAAAGTATTTATATAACTCTATTGTTTAAAATCTCAAACATATTCAAATTAGATGATAAATTTTGTATTTTACTTGATATTTACCCACAGGGCTGACATCCAGAACTTTAGGCAATCTAACATGTTCATTTTCGAGTGGTAACATTCTTCTAGGTGTCCGGTTACCGAAATCGCTGTTCCTCCTGAGTTTAGTCGCGAACTGCGAGCCGCGGTTCTTTTCATGGGTGAAATCGGAGCAACGTCTCAGTTCCCTGGTGCTGCCCAACGGCGTGATATTCTCCGAATATCGTCGCGATACGTTTTCGGGCGAGCGGCTTCTCTCGAGTGGCTCGTCTCCTCGCATCCTCGGCAAATGTCTAGGGCTACCTTCCGTCATGCGTCTGCATTGCGTGATCGGAGACGTATCGTCCTCGTTTACGAATCTGACGCTACACTCCGAATTTCTGCGCGACGATCTGTTGGATGTGTCGCTGCCTCGTCGACTGGCCATTGAGCTTCTGCGACTCGGACTAGACACGGTTATAATCGGCAGATTAACGGTCGACGGAGTGGGAGTGGGCGGTCTCACGTAGACCTCTGGTACTGCCGATTTCTGTTCCTGTGACGGAGATTGTACGGTGCACGTGGGTACAATCGTAACACGATTCGTTTCCTTCCGCGTCGGTTCCTCCACCTTATACACCTTGGCCGTGATCCGCGATTCTGAAATCAAAAGTCTCAGTCAGATCTACTCACATCGGGAAGACAAATTCACGATGAAGTATATTACCTTCTTCCGCGGTCGCCTCTTCCGCGCTTTTACCCGCATTCGCGGATTCACATTCCTCCGGGCCCTTCATCCTTGGGCCAAGTAAGGTGGGTACCAGCGCGGCAGCGACTGAGGTCGCCAAATTGCTATACGGCGCCAATATCGCGAGCTGCATGATACCTAAATCACGAATAAGAGTGATTCAGCTTGGAAACAAATGACATGAAAACGAACGTGGAATATGAAAGAAGTATTTTAGATATTTTAAAAAAAAGAATAAATTTGAGATATACACATGGAAAGAGTCGAACCTTTTTGATGTGCGTTCGAATTGTCCCGTGTTAACATACTGCTTGGCATGGTACGAAGCAGATGATCGACCTTGTAAGCTGCGTGCAGGAACGCGAGATATAGGAAGACGCTCCATACGAGAAACGCCGCTTGAACCACGTATTTCGCCATATAGCAATTATGAGAGGACAGAGTGATATCGCTGGCGATGATGAAGAAGAAATGCGCCGTTATAATGAGACTGAGGCAGGATTCTTTCTGTATTTTTTCCGGGCCGAATTTCAGCTGTTGCAAGTTATCCACATGAGAATCTTGTAATAGCAATATGCATTCTACATTAACTAAACTTGTTACATTTTAATATAAACACCTTCGTATGCCAATTGTATCAGGCAGAAGGCAGACGTGATGCACGGATATCCAATGTCCCATATGATCGATCCGATGACCTTTGGCATCGTCTCCTTGAGATTGTATGGATCTATGAACAGGCAAGCGGCTCGCGATGCTCCGAGTAAACATAGGAATATATTAATCGTGGACATAAACGGTCGGCTTGATATGAGAGATCTATATAAAAAGAGACAATCTTAAAGTAACTATCATCTTTCGTTAACCGTCGTCGATACGCACGACATACCTTAAATTTAGAATAGAGAAGAATGTATAAAACCCAAGTACGAAGAAGAGGCATGCAAAACCGTACGAATGCAATAGGAACATCCATCTTAAGTCTTGTTGTACCGAACCCCACGACGGAGAAGTGACCAGTGATTTGTCTAGGATTGCAGAGTTCGACGCGTTTGACACACAGTTTTGTCCGGCGACAGGCGCTGGGGTCGTTGCGTTTACATCTAATTGACAGAACACTCGAATGAGGAACGACGCGTGTATATATATATATATATATATATATATTTATATATATATATATATATGTAATAAACTATGTGTATTAAAAACTAAGATATAATGGGGATAAAAAAACTGACCAGTCCAATTAGCCAGTCTATCCATAATCTCTTGATATATCCACAGCACATCACTGAATCTTGTAGTGTCAGTTACTCTGTCTTACGATAGACAATTTAATATGTTGCCGTCTTTAAGGTAGCACACGACGTTCCGCGGGATGACGTTGGTGAAATGTGGGTAGCAGCAACAGGCTTTACCTATAGAATGGCTTGATTCACGCACCCCTTCTCACTGAATACAGCTACTGTCTCCCTTCAGTTAGGATTATTGATCTTAGTTGAAGAGAGGGTTGGAGGGGAGGCACATACATGCCCACATAAAGCACCTGGCCTGCTGGTCAGTTGTGTTTATCTTTAGAGTTTAAATGGAGCAGCGTTAAATTTATCGGTCTACGTTATGTTATGATTCACACCGGCCTTGTTATTTTTGTAAAAGGAAACTTCTGTCTTAGTTTTATCGATGTTTCCTAAGAATTATAAATTCCAATTGCGGTATAAAAGAATACTCTGGGGAACACGTACAAAGGGGATAAAAATAGTTTGATAATATATTACATATTGAACTTTTTTATTATACGAGGTAAATCTTACCCTGTAATCACAGGGCATCAGCTTTTAAAAAATCGATGTCTAAACGATTTGGAGAGAAGAGAAGAGGGAAACGCGATACAAAAACTAATACTTATTTTTTTCTAAATATCCTAGATGGCATATAATGTTTTAATTAGAAAATTATGAACAAAGTTGATATTTCTGGGTGATATAAAAAAAAGAGTAGCAATAATATAGATTAATTAAGATAATAATAATTAGAGAAATTATTTTCTATTTAGAAAAAATATGTGTGTATTTGTTTTATCTACATCATGAGATTTAATATAATACATTACAAAAATCAAGTTTGTATTAATAGATGTAAACTTTTATAAATTAACAAAGAGAGCTACAAATTAATCAAACATTAATATACAATACATATTCAAAATATTTATGGAATGAACATATTATTAGCCAACACATATTACTGCACCATCTTAATTATCATTCCTGTATCATTTACACTTATTGTCTTTTTAAAAGAATTCAAGAGAAAAATGTTTATTAAATTTGTACACCACACAATACTTGCAGCAAATCAACAGCAAATCATCTTACATAATATTAAATAGGCAGAATAGAAATATGAAGTGACATTTACAGATGAAACATTTTTTAACTTTATCTAGATAATGAATCTGTGATGAAATGTGATATATATACAGGTATCATATGGTACACGATAATGTATGTTATCATATATGGCAGATGCTTTATGGAAGCACTATCTTACATAGAAGAAAATTTTTCACTTCCCTTAATGTAGTTGACAGGCTCTGACTGCAATCAATTGTAGGAGAATGAATACAGGACTCAAAACTTCCGAATATTCCAATGTGCTTTGTCCAGAGAGCTTTTTACACAAAAGATATTTAAATACAAATACCAGAAGTAACGATATCAGACTCCACAATGCTCGTAAAATGCCCACTTTGATCATTCCCTCCATGTACATTCTTATAAATATAATTGCGCAAAAGTATGTATTCAGACCATCTGCTATAAAAAGCGGCGAGAATACTTCCCACCATCCTGACGCTCCCAAAAAATAATTATCGTCTAATTTTAAAGCTAGTAGCACAGTGAAGAATGTTAATGCAACCAAGTTGATCCATATCTCAAAGATTGTCAAGCCCAACCAATGAACAAGCTCATTCAAAGAAAAGATCATTGTAAAAATAATACAGCTTTGAGCCAGCTATATTGCGATATTATAGTGAATTAGGATATAGTAATATGCGCATAGTCTTATTGCTCAAATGCATTGTTTTGCAGAATCAGTATCAGTTTGCCTTAGATCTCAGCGCAGTAAATGGCACTCTTCTGAAAACACGTATGTGTATACCAGAGTTCAGTCTGTTGTTTACTTCATAGTCCGCGTCATCGTTCAGTGTCTCTAATTCATCTGCAAATAATAGGCATAATTAAAACTTTGTATAAATATTTATATATACAAACTTGTATACAAAAAAAAATACACATACCCACTAGAGACACAGTAGAAGTTTTTATATCAAGGTCTAAAGTTCCATGATGAATCTCCTTTAATTGCAAGGCTAAGTTGACTGCTTTAAATACAGCGGCTCCAAGACCATGGATAATTAACTCTGATGCGCCTTTGTCAAATAGTTTTTCACACTTGTATAATTGTCCCTTTAAAATAAATATATATCAATATTTTAGGAAACAAAGTTTCAAAGCAAATACATGTTTGTCTCGAATTAAAAGTATAAGAGATGATTTTTCTTTTCATCTCTTGAAGATAATACTTTGAATTCGAAATTACGTAGCATATATGCATTTCGACTTCAGAAGTTGTTTTGCAACGCTTTAAAGGTTATGATTTCCGTGAAGAGCGAGATACCTTGAAGGGAGTTTTATTGTTTACGTAGATATCCCTGCCGTTTTTCTTCAATTCGAAGGGCTGCTTCTTTCGCAGAACGTGTTTGGAATTTGACAAACTGTTTTTACGGCGCGTATTCTTTCGTTTGGGGGTGGTTTCGCTCAACCCCCTCGGATCGTCGTTCGCCTCGGCCATTCTGACATTTTTCGTGGACGGTATCACGTGGAGTTCTCGCTACTAACGGTGCGCACTGATTGGCCGCAGCCGCCGGAACTGCCGGAAGTGCGCCAATCGAATCGCGGTGTAGAAGCAGTAGAAATAGGTGACGAGTACGTGATCAAATGGGTCACTGACAACAACGCGACATAACCTGTAAAGGGGCCGGGATTCATCGATTGACGAGGGGTGGTTTACGTTGCTTTGACGGTCCTCATAAAAGCAGGCAATATTCAGTCACCATCGGGAAACACGACGAGCCAGGGCGCGATGAAGGAACCCGAAGTGGATCCGAAGAACATGATAAAGAGCAGAGAACTGCTCTACAGGCTGATGATCAGGTTGTGTATAATCGTCTCTTTCGCACGCATCCCGTTGAATTTCCAACTTCTTTGCCAGTAATGTCCTTGTAATCTTTTTCAAACGTAAATACTCGATTACATCGAATCAAGCAATGTTGATTTGCAATTATAACTTTGACGACGATGGCAATAGTGTAGAAGCAATAGGGGTTGAGTAAGTCACGTTGAATATTTCAGTCAGTTATTCTACGATGGCCATCAGACGTTAGCCGTGCAACTGTCCAACATGATACAAGCGGAACCGCCGTGTCCACCCTCGGATCGATTGCTTCATTTAATGTTAGTCGGTGCCGCGCACGAGCCGGATCGTTCCAAGAAGGATAGCAGCAACAATCTGTCCACATTCGCGTCGAGTTTCGACAACACTTTAGGACCTGGACTAGACTTGGAATTTGAGACGGAGACTCAGACTCAGGCCCCGGAACCGGCGCAGTACGAAACTGCATATGTCACATCCCATAAAGGAAATTGCAGAGCAGGAGCCTTCTCAGCGGACGGACAGTTAATAGCTACCGGCTCTGTGGATGCTTCGATCAAGATCTTGGATGTGGATAGGATGCTCGCCAAGTCCGCACCGGACGAGATGGCGCCCGGAGATCAGACCGGTGGCCATCCAGTCATAAGAACATTGTACGATCATTTGGAAGAAGTGACGTGTTTAGAGTTTCATCCTAGGGAACCTATACTTGTGTCTGGTAGCCGCGACTTCTCCGTAAAACTATTCGATTTTAGTAAAGCTAGCGTCAAAAAGGCGTTCAGAACCATCACGGATGCCGATCAAATCCGGTGCTTGTCCTTTCATCCTACTGGAGATTTCCTTATAGTCGGGACTAACCATCCAGTAGTTAGATTGTATGATGTGAATACTGCACAGTGCTTCGTGTGTAGCATACCGAGTCATCAACATACAGCTGGAATAACAAGTATAAAGTATTCACCTGACGCAAAGACTTACGCATCGGCTGGAAAGGATGGCAGCATTAAACTCTGGGATGGTGTGTCGAATCGATGTATAAATACCTTCGTGAAAGCGCACGACGGTTACGAAGTATGCTCGGTGACCTTCACGAGGAACGGCAAGGTAGTAATTCTGGTGCAAGTAATGTTGCACAAGATTTAAGATACATTGTAAATTGCAGAGGAAACATTTGTACATTTATATATTCTCCATTTGTATTGAGTAATTGTGTAATTTTGAATTTTCCAGTATTTACTATCCTCAGGAAAAGATTCCTTGATAAAGTTGTGGGAATTGTCTACTAGCAGATGTTTAATAGCATATACAGGTGCTGGAACTACAGGTAAAAATCTATGAAGGGTTTAGGTATATGTGGAATATATTTGATGCGGTATGCCTCGCGTTAACATTACAATATTACCGTAATGAATATCATGTAACTCATTGTGGGACGTTATTTCAACAGGTAAACAGGAACACAAGGCACAAGCTATCTTTAATCATACCGAAGATTATGTAATGTTTCCCGACGAAGCCACAACTTCATTGTGCGCCTGGAATTCTCGTAATGCGTCACGAAAGCAGTTACTGTCATTGGGTCACAACGGTCCTGTGAGACTAATCGTGCACTCACCAACCGCTCCCGCTTTCTTGACATGCAGTGATGATTTTAGGGCAAGATTCTGGTTTCGAAGAATGCCGACTCACTAGCGGCTTGCTATTAAAATCGGCAATTAAAGGACACTATAAGAGACCACAGAATATTTTTTCTGATAATTCCCAATTTTATGAAAAGGTAAAATTACACTGAAATCAAAGGTATATATTATGCATGTATTATAAGATTAGGCATATTATGACATCAGATATAATTATGAGAAAAATGTTACATATTTATTTTATTTTTTGTTTTATTTAGACTCTAAGAGCAAGAAACATACTTTGCACATTTTATTATTTTATTTGTGCTACAATATAAATAATATACGATTTTTGATAATACTTTTCTCTCATAATGAACTTTCATGTGAACAAGCATAAAAGAGAATCTTTTCTCTGTTTCAAAGCAGCATATATAATTAAAAATCTTAAGGATAATCTTACAAAAATTTTATAAATTATCGACTATATGTTTCACTGTGGATATAATATATAAATATACTACATATGAAAATAATTTTTAAATCAGGTAAGTAAGCGCGTCCGTAGTGTTGGCTGGCTATAAGTCGATTTAATATATACGACAGACGTTTATGAAAATAATTTTCGAAATTACTACTTCTAAAACATATAAAAACTTTAAAGCATGATTAGTCAGTACCTTCATCAAAGTTTGACTTATAAAATTATACCGATTTTAATTATTCTGTGGTGATATTCCATGGTTATTTATACTTATATTTTTAATTACTGTAGAAAACGTCACTCTTATACAATAGAACAACAAGTTGATGCAATCCCGTGCGATTTAAAATGCGTGCCAGATAATTGTATAAAACTCTCGTGTAATTTTACTTGTCAGACGAGTTTCCGAGATACATGCATATAATATCGCATCATCTTATCGATGACGTTCCGATAAAAAGTTTCGTCTTTTTCAATAATAAAAATCTCGAGGCGCGAAAAACGATAAAAGAATTTAATTCTCGCGTGTGCGTCGCTACGCGCATAGTTCGCCGCGGCGACGCCGGGCGGCGCGTCGAACTCCCGCTCTGAGGTTTGACGAGGTGTCACGTGACCCACGCTAACCGCCATCTTTCTTTATCGTATAAACAGTGCGACCGGGCGTAGCGCGAATTCTCGCCGTGGAACCGTGGATTTCCCAGTGTTTTTGAGTGATTCGCACGCGAAGAGATGTCGGACGCCAAGACGGAAACCAAGAGCGACAACAACATCGAGGATGCGTCCAAGGTAAGCGAGATGCCGGCGGTCACGTCAGGAACATCTTCGTCAAGCCGAGTTTTCATGCCGTGAGCGGCGTGTGTGCGACGGAGGCATCCCCCTTCCCTCCCCGCGGCCACGGTGACGCTCGTTACGTTCGCGCGGATTCCGGACGACGACGACGACGACGACGGCGGCGGCGGCGGCGGCTGCGGCGGCGGCTACGGCGTACGCCGTCGTTGTACGTCTACTACGCCGCGGCGTCGCGACGCGCGCCATGTGGTATCGCGCGTCGAGCGACGGCGCCGCGCGTTGTGACCGGTCGCTTGCCCGTCCGGCGATTTCTCGTAGCTGCGCCGTACGTACGTACGCACGCATATCCCCGTCTCGCATCGTCGTCGGCAAAGATGGTGGATGTTTCTTTACTCGCGCGAGCTCTCGCGAATAGATTGCTTCGCCGCTACTCTCATCTATCTTTCTCTCTTTTGCTTTTGGCCCGTACGCCGTATGATCGGCGCCGCGCAAAAAGGCGGGAAATCGCGGCGGCGTCGCGCCAGGAACGTGGCCGCGGTCGCTGGCACGGCGGTTCACGTCCGGCCGGGACGTCGTCGTCGACGGCCGGGCACGGGAGTCGCGCGCGAGGCGTAGAACATCGGAGATGATGCGGACCGCAAAATGGCGGGAAACTTGAACGAGACGATGGTCTCGGTTCAACGGTCCTCGATAATCTTATCACGCAAGCGTCCTAATTATCGTGCCGTGTCGTCCGCTTTCCTCTTCCACCGTGACTCTTAACTCTAGAATAATCTCGAGAGGCGCACGACTGCGTAACAGGCATTTTCCCAGTGTATAGATGTATGCGTAACACATACATACGAATCATGCATGTATATGTGTGTGTGTGTGTGCGTACGTGCGTACGTATGAGAGCGAGTGAATATAGGAAACTCGGTAATTTTGCAGGAACAGTCAACGGAGGAGAAACCGACTCCGACGAAAAACAAACGAAGCGGCACCAAGAGGCTCTCCACTCTCGAGAGGACCGCTCAGGAGGGTGAGGCAATCCTAAAGGTGCGTCTCGCGAGGAATCACGCGGTAATCTGAAGCAGGAAAAACTTTTCGCATCGTATCGGAGAGAGACCGGCTTATCGCATTTATCCAAAATCTCCGTAGAGGTTCCAGCGGTCAAGGTCCTCGTCTCCTTCCCCTCGCCCGTTTATTTCCCTCCGTTTTAGCCTCTCCGTCGTCGACTCTGCCTGCTGCCTACGTGAATGCATAGGGCATCGGAGTGGGAACGTTGATCGGCCGGAGAGGGGGCGACGAGGAGGGAAATAAGCGTCCTCGCACGGTGGGGCACGAGGAACCAATCGCTGCGTAGGCGCCAATTACAATTTGCTATGTATATTCTCACATGCTGTAATACTAATAAGAATTTCGAAAGAGCATGTATCTACCACAGTGGAAAGCTGATTCTAGAAATGTTAGTTAAGATTAAATGTAATTTAAATGTATAAATACGGAGTATTATTAAATTAATATATTTTGCAATTCGCGCACGGTTTTTATCGTTATGCTTTCTAATGAAAACCATTTGATATCATCTTAAATCGTATTTCTCTTCGTTTTAACTGACTCGGCGTGTTATTACAGGGTATGAACAAATCCGTCGGCGAAGTGGAAGGCAGAAGACGCACTCGCAGTTCAGCCAGAGGCCTAACTTCGACAACGCCAGTGCCATCGCCTCCCAAAAAGGAGAAAAGGGAAACGTCGACAAAGGGCGGCGGTGGTCGCGGACGTGGACGCCCCAAGAGGCAAGAGAAGAATAACGAAAACAACACCGATGAGGAAACGTCCAATAACAAAAGCGAAAAACACACGGAAGAGGAGTCTACAAAGATGGAGGTAGACGAGGAAAAGGAGGAGGGGAAAGAGGAGAAAGACAGCAAAGCGATACAGAATGAAGACAAAAACGCAGAGACCGCGGACAGTAAAGACAGTAAAGACGCTGAGAAAACGTCCGAGGCCAACTCCAAGGACGAGAAGGTAACGGAGGAGTCAGAGAACGTGGTAGACGAAGCTAAAAGCACCTCTCCCAGCGAAGAGAAGAAGCAAGAGGAGATAAAGGACAGCTCGGACTCGAGTCAAGATGCAACGGACACAGCAGCGGAAGCGCCACCTTTATCCTCATCGGATTCCCAAAATCCCTCCAACGCTGTTACTACCGAGGAAAATAAGGAATAACCTCTCTTCGCCTGTTTTACAACTACTTTTATGTAAGTAATTTATGTTTTCCACTACTATTTCAGCCGACAATATTCTAATCGCGCGAATTCTTCTTTTCGAAATACATATAATATAATGATACATATAATATCTATAATGAAATGTAGATTCTTATTGTTTAAAATTAGCGTGTAATAATTTGCAGAAAATCTGTAAAAAAGATATTAACACGAAATTTGTTTTACTATAGGAGGTACCAAGGCGGCGCACATATTGGGGTCACACAAATCCAGTCCCCCTCGTCTATTTTAACTAATTAACACCTTCTTGTCGATCGTTGCTTCAACCAGCGCATTTAGAGTTTTGCTTTTATTTTATTTCCAGACTATTATTTCCAGGTAACGCAACTTCCGGAAAATATGATAAAAAGACGTTTAAAAAAAAAGTCATAGAGTCTATTGTACTGGCATGAATTAGAGCTTCAAATTCAATTTTTCTCTATCTATATTAATTATATGTAATAATTATATACAAATATTTTTATTACTTTATATATTATATAATAATTATATATAAAGTAATAATAATGTAGGAAGAGACAACCCAGTTGTGTGTGTAGTAATATAGCTTTAATTCAGTTTGTCAGTGCAACTTGTTTCTAAAGTTTTCACGCATCGTTTAAACGGGTTTTAAACGTTGTCTTTTAGATTTTTACTGTTTGAGTCATTGCTATTCTCTTCCGCGTTGTTATCATTATTATTATTATTTTTTTTTTTTTCCTTTTCTTTTTAATAGAATGTTGAACTCTAAAGCTAATGTAGCCATGTGTATTTTTTTTTTTTTTTTTTCATTGATGAAAATGTTTATGATATACGTGTATGTATACCATGTGCATTATATCTATACATTTTTAATTTTATTCTAATCAAACAGTGAAAATTCTTCTTTTGCGCTGGTTAATTAGCGATAAGCAACGCGAGGTGTAGAGCATACGTTGTTCTCATGTACAATGATAATATTATTGTAAAATATATTTAATATGGACTTATATAGAGAGAAGAGAGTTGTTTTCAAATCAGAGCTGACATCCTGGGGTCCTATAGCATAACGAGCCTACGATTCAGATCTGGTATGAAAGTGGCTATAAAGATTAATTCGTACATAGCAAATTACTGTAATACTTTTATCGTATATAAATAGTGACTGAATGAAATGGAATATATGAGAATTATGGTAAAATGATTTCTCTTTTTCATGGATTATGCGAAAATAAAATTTCTGAGAAACGCGTCGCAGCGTTATCTGTTTTGCTTTCCTCCTTCGCATAAGTGTCCACGAATGATAATTTTTTAACCGATCATTAAACTCTGTCGCGTGTTGGTTAATCGACCAGTAAACAAACCAACACTATATTAATAAATTATACGCTCTTTCCATATTGCTTTGAAAGCGATCGGAAAGACAATTGTTTATTATCGAGTGGAAATTTTTCGTTATTATTTTTCATTCTAGATATTGTTGTGATTTTTCTAATCATTCAACGCGCTCCACTTTTCCCTTTTTCAGTTCCTTCCACCTTCCCTTCATTTTTATCAGTCCAATATTAAATATGTTAAGATTATTGTGTATTTGAACTGTGTTGCGAATGTACAGATAGATAATACGATTGATCGATGCACTATGTCTTATAGAGTTTGCTCCACTTGACGAGACACCAACGGTAACTATGCCAGAGTCTAATACAGCAAGTTTTATTATGTAAAATTGTGTAATGAGGAATAAGGATTTTTTTTTTTCGTGGAAATGCATAGGACATTTAGCTCTTGAATGCGGAAATTTTGCAAGGAAAATTAATAGTACACCGTGAAAATATACACGAAACTGTAAAGATTTCGCGGCCTCTCTAATGCCAAATAGATTTGTCGACACCAAGTAGTAGCACGAGAGTATAGTCGCTATAAGTATTTCCTTACAAGTCACGCTCCTATGTTTATGGAGATTGTACATTACGAAGAAACGTAGGACTCTATCATTCCATCTCTCTGTTTTTTTTTCTTCATTATCAATAATATCTTCCTGAGATTTACGATTGTATATAGCGAAGATCAAGTGTAATATACGTGTAAATAGTTTAACATTAAGCTTCGTGTATCACACTAGACCTTTTCTTGATTACTTTTTGTGGAATCTCAGCTCTTAGGGTGCCTCTAGCATTAGCATGTTGTACGATATACGAGTGTAGAGAATACCGGCGATTTAAAAATCAAACTCAAGCTTTGTAATGGCGATTTTATGTAGCTGTATCACTTTTAAGGTGCTTATCTTAAGGAGTAATCTTTCTTTTCACACACACACATATATATATGGGGAAGATTATTGTACGGTTCGATATTAGAATTTCCTAGAAGTATGCATATATAAGAAAGTACTCGGTTTCATTAACAATTAATCGCTGAACTTTTTAAATTTTATTGTATTAATTAATTGAAGAATTTTTTTGTTTTATTGGCGTTCTTATAGCTTTATTCATCAGAGACTTTTAATATATTTTAAATCCAAATCCATATATATAGATATGTATTTATATGAATATCTTTCTTTTATTTAAACTTCAATAAATTTCTAATAATATATATCATACTATTGATCGTTGACATACATTTTGTCGAATACTGTGTAATATTATAATTTGTATCGATAATATTAAATATCTCTCTTTAACTCCTTGAATTTCTTTTTTGTTGCTCTAAAACTAAATAACAATACTGTAAAAGAAATATTAAATAATGAACAAGTTAATTTTGTTAATGCAATTTATATTATAAATACATTAATATATATGATCTTTCAAGCTTTAACGTAAAAGTAAGGATATGTGACTGTTTATATTTATTATTATTGTAATTAATATGGATTCAAATCCAATATATATTATATTATAAAGACAAGTCTTTGGACAAACTAATGTATACTGTAGAATTGAAATATCATCTTATTAGTGATACAGATAAAATAATGAAAATTTCGTCGTAAAATCTTGTATAACTTATCTTTTTTGTTTCGTGTAATTTTTTAACCATATTATGACATAAGATCCTTTTTAACACGAGATGATTTTTTTTTTTCATGTTTCTCGTAATCTGTGTCATAAATGATATCGATCTCTTTGTTATATTATATAATATTATATATTTTTATTATATGGTAAAGGTGTAAGCATCATGATGGCAGTCATTCCGCGTATTCTCATTCTTTGCCCTATATTGGCTTTTGTAAGTAAATTGCTTCGATTAATAAAACCTGGAAAAAGTGCATTGTTACATTTCCTTCTCCGGTAAAACTGAGCGGCGGAGCGAATATTTCGATACGTTGCGTAATCTCATTGAAATACGAGTATACTTACAGAAATTCCAGATAACATTGCTGACGCTGACGTGTGCGTTAACGATATCATACAGTTTATTCGTCGATCGCAATATAACATAGACTGCATTCTGATGTTTATTGCCAGTATTAAAAATCTATATAGTTACTATATAGTTTACATCACGTGCATTATAGATTTTCAGTACTGTCAGTGAATATTGGAACACAGCCTTGGTATATATTCTCTCTCAATAGTTTGCTCATCACGATTTATCGTAGCGAGATTTTATTGCGTTGATAGTTTGGATTGAATGGATCTCGCTTAGCTATCACTATCGATTACACGAGGCAGGTAATTACAGAAAATCACAGTGAACGATCTCTTTGGCTTCTAACGATGATATTAGAATGACGAATCATAAGCAATTAATTTGCTTTACAATATTGTTCTTACTTTTCAATAATTAACCTGAATCTCTATAAATACTCCAAAAAATTATTGCTACACAATAGTTAATTTTAATCTATTTCAACTATTTTTAATTTTACTGCAGTAAATCTTATGTTTTATAGTTATAACCTCAGGTCTTCAAAATCTCTTTTTCAGTGAATAAACTCTATGATTAATCACGCTAAATGTTATTCTCACTTTTGTTACTGCAGTAAATCTTACAATTATTCTCAGTCTTCAGGTAAATATATCACGTATGATTTAAAGCGAACCTTTCGGAGTGGTACATTGTCCATTAGAAGACGGCTCCACCATCTGCGCTTGCGGCGGAGCTGAAGCTGCGCATTGCATATAAGGCTGTGGTCCCAATACTGGATTCCATTGTTCTTGCACGTGCGGCGGCAACATAGCATGATACTGCATTGGCTGTGGATACATCACAGGATGCGAATACAGCATCGGCTGGCCCGCTGTTGGCGGATGACTCGGTGAGTAAGGACTTTCTGTTGGCGAGTAAAGATGTTGCGGATACGACGGCATAGTCGCGTTCTCGGCCGCATCGACGTGCTGAGGTGGTAAATATGACGGCACTGGTACATAGCTACCGTTTCCCGGTGGTGTAGTGTGATGGCATTTCCTGATACGGTACCGGAGAAGAGAATACACCCGGCGGCGGTGGCGCATATTGCGGTGATGCGTAAGCGTTCGGCGCATTAGACATTACTTGATGCAACATCGGATCCCAAGATCGGCCATGCTGTATCACGTGCGTATCGTTTCTACACGTGTCGTATGCCGCGCCGTATTGCTGACTCGGGTGCTGCTGCATCGAATACATCGATCCACGATTCTGCTGGCGATTTCGCATCCTGTTGCCTGTGCCTGGGAAAATAAGTATTTTTACATATAATCATCGCAAACTTTTGCACAACTGAAAAACTGAGGTGAATGATCTCAAATAAATCATTACAAGAAAAAACATATGTATAATATTGAGGTAAGTGTTAATACTATACTCTTTAAACTTTTATATTCTCGTAAGCTTCTCGATTTTAAACTGCTTTATTCCGTATTCGTAATGGTTTGATGCATATGTATAGAAGAATGAAGATATCATGCATGAAATAAATTTAGAATAAAAAAGTGAAAAATGGAAAATATCTCAAGAATGAGGAAGTAAATACGGAGAGAATGACTGTAATAGTTTACTTTTCAAATAACCACAACAGGACTGATTAAAACCGATTCAGATTTAGTGTATTAATGATTTAATAATCATTACAAAAATATTGCATATTATCTGTCTAAATTTTTATGATATACAGAAAGTCTCAAAACTATTTTTTATGATAGATTCACAATGGCCAATTTCTGAATTTGATCAATACTTCCATTAAAAAATAAAAGCGATTCCAAATTTGTCATTAAAAGAATTTTTTATCATTTATGATACCCTGTATATATTTTGTAATGTTTTCTTAAAACATTAGGAAAGATTAAATTTATTTGATCCAAAGCACTTTTTTTGGAAAGTGAACTCAATTATTATCTCAAAGAAAGAACCTAAAATTTAAATTTATATATAATTAATTTTGCTACTACCTTTAGCAGTTCCAGTCTGTTTTCCTTTCTGTGCAACTTGATATGAGGGATCTTTTCCACTTAAACTTTTCAGTCCTTGCTTCGGCTGCCTTGCATTCTGTGCACTATTCATGCTCTGATGCGAAGTGTTGGAAATATCATCATTAGCACCTGCTCCTTCACTATACGTTAGCGAACAATTCTGCATCCCGTTAACAAGATGCTCCATTTCTTCTTGCATACATGGAACATCTGTCAAAGAAATTTATTAATGATAATATTGCAATATTGATTTTTTATATGGATGTTTATCGATATATAAATTACTATTCATACGAGCATTTCCCGATGGTGCTCCTAGAGGTTGCACGCCGTGATGACCCGGCCCATACATCATAGGTCCATAATAAGTTGGGTTTAAGGTACGAAAAGTATCCTGTAAAAAAAATTGTATTAGTTTAATATTTAATATGATAAATTACAGTGCTCTTTTCCACTATGTTATTACAATACCTCCAAATGTAGCAGGTGTAGATTATAAAAGAAATTAGATGCGAATGTATCTGAAAAAAAGAAAAAGAAATATAAACGAAAACAAGTATTATTCATGAGAAGACATGATGACTGGTAATGAAAACATATAACTAATATATATTACATGCAATCACAATTACATTTTTGTTACGCTATAATACATACGATCCATTTGATTGTGCTCTCCAAAATTCCCTGGCATGTATGGATAAACGGAGTATGTATTGCCATTATCTGCGACAACATAAGATACATTCGGATTGCCGCCCATGTCGACTTGTTGGTTACCTGCAATTAATATTTCACTTATTGTCAAGCAGAAAGATTTTGAGATAAACTTTGCGAAAAATTTATTAAAAGTCTTTACATTCAACTATCGATATATTTATGCAATTTTTAACAAATTTATTCGTTATCTGCTGTCAATAGTATATCAATAATATATCGATATGACATGTAAATATATCGTCGATCGCCAATTATTGAATGTGTTATGTTTTATAAAATGATTTAAAAAAAAAAATATAGAATTATATCTATAAATATTATAATTTTAGTATACTTTTTCTTAATTTATTTAAAAAAGAAATGAGAATCTAAATGCAAACGTTTTGGAAAGCTTCCGAGATTTATTTTTTAATATTTTAAATTATAATATATGCGAGATAATGTTATTTATTTAAAACTTTTGTCTTTGCACAGCAATAATATTAAATTATGATAGCAGAAGTCATGTAACTTTTTTTCTTGCATTTTCTTTTATACCCTCTGTCATTTGCATTCAATAATGTAGATTGATGAAATACATCAATAACTCCTATTTTTATCCTGTATTAGTAAATACAGGTATAATTCATTCTGCAAAATTTCCAAATATAAAATGTAAATGACCCTTACAAGTGATTAGATTTTCACATCAGAAAATTTGTAGCTATTCGAACCAAAAAAAGAATCTTTGATATATTTTATTAATCTACACTATTGAATATGCGCGATATGCAAAAAAATTAATTTTATTCGATATATTGCAATGATATAATGCACAAGAGAAAAACTTATTCAAATTTCAATACCACATCAGTAAGGCATCAAGAGCCTTAAGAATACTTACCATCGCAAGGTGAACAATAATTCTCATCTAACACTTTTAGTTTTGTGCATGAATTCTGAAGACTATTACGAGAATTATTAGATCTTTCAGTTTTGTTTCTTGCAGTATTGTTCACTTTTCTAAATACTGCTTTTTTATGCTCTTCTCCTACTTTTTGCGCTACACTGTTTGACACTATGGACTGTGAATTGTTGAGTGTAACCATCACAGGCAAGCTGTTAGCTTCTTCCTACAAATAAAAAGCAAACATGGAAAAGCATTTCAATATTTCTGAATACAACATTAAAATCTTGCTTACATTTGTCGTATGATCACAATAATCTTCTACAGACTGATTCTCTGTTTGGCATTGATCTATTGCACTGTAAGCGATTGTAAAACAAAAAAATTTTTAATTGAATTTGGAATATGTTTATTAAACCGTACAATTTTTCATTTTATACTTTATTTATTATATAATTATTTTTACTTTTTACATATGTTATAATTTTGCATGTATGCAATCAAAATACGTACGAAAGTTCGTAGTTTTGCTCATCAGTTCTAGTTTTATCAACATCATTGATATCGTCACTATCAACATTATTATTATTATTGTCATCGTTATTCACTAATGTATTTTTATTTGCATTACTTGTTCCATGTACCATATTTATGGTGCCTTTTTTCTTTCGCGAGAATGAGTTATATGATTTATTCCATCGTCGACCTAACAAGATGCAAAATAAAGATCAATTAGCTGTACACAGAAAAATAATATCAGAATATATGATTCAATATACTAACTTGAATCTGAATTAACCGAATGATTTCTATTGACTGCTACCCAATTTTTCTGCCTATTTTTCCTCACTACAGGTAATGGTTTTAGAGCATCATATGGGACAAATTTTTTCTCTCCGAGGTCTTTGATAAAGACTAAGACCGGTTCTCTATTTGTATGCATTTCTTGTATATAACCATGGAGCCAAAGGGGCCCCTGCTTCAATTTTTGCTGTTCAGTCTTACTGTTACTCTCACTAGCACTACGATCTGACGAATTAGCGCACAAACTTTTGTTATTATTTCTGTCACATTGTTCTAAATCGTTTATACTGATTTCTATCAAACATTTGCCACCGACTTGAAGCTCATTACTGTTGTACCTATTCCAGCCTGCGGATTTTACCTCTGCATACAAATAATTTCATTTTTAAATATTCCGTTTTTGTTCAAGATATAAAGAAATATATAAGTTTCTTATTTTTTTATCTATGATTTATTATATATATAAAATACCTCGTTTCAATTCGTGCCATATGTCTAACTCTATGTTGCGATAATAATCGGGAGCTAGCGCTTTTGCAACTTTATAAGGAATTGGTGGTGCTCCCTTCCAATCGGATTGCACTTCATCTGTGTCATTATGTTCATTCTTCACTTTTTTGTATAAATCTTCAATCAATTGTCTGAATAAAGATATATCTCATTATAAAAAGAAAAATAATTTGTATCTTTTTTTAATATTTACTTGTAGATTGCAATAATTGTTATAATTGCAATCATGACATATATTGAGATTTAATTAAGTAACTTACTCTCTAATATCAAGATTTCCCTTCTGAAAAAATTTGTCATGTCTAAATGCAGAATTTCGATTATGTAGCATTTTATCCGCAACAGTCTTTATGTTAGGCATTTGATACAAATACCTATATACAACTTCATAAACAATAGCTATCAAGAAAAAAAGGGAAAAAAAACGAAGATTATCATTATTTTGAAAAAACAATTCGAAGAAAAAAAAGAAACTCTTGCCATATAGGCACAGAGTAACACATATCAATAGAAATGTCTACATACATTGGCAGTAAGCAGCCGATTGGACAAAAGCCATTGGATAAACAGGTTCGTATTGCTTCGGTTCTGTGTGACATAGCAATATAACGCCTTTTTTGAAACCATTATTAGTAACATTCTCACATATCTGCTTTTCTCCAACAAATATGATTATGTCTCTTTTATAAAGCAGGGACAAGGCACGAATTTCGTTTGGGCCTCCCCACTCTGTGAAGCACTGCATTTCTTTCACATAATAATCAAATGATGTTGTCATAGACTAAAAAAAGAAAGAAAAAAAAAAGAAATAAGAAGACGTGTCACAATATTCTCAATAGAACAATGCTATATGAAATAGATACTTACATCCGTGAACAATTGCCTTTTTTTCATCATAAAATCTGTACATTCTTTTCTCACTCGCAAATGATAATGTTGAGTATGATACACCTGTTCACTGATCGCCCTGAATAAGCAGGTCGGATCTCTGGGAGTAGGCTTTCTGAAATAACCTTCCTTAGCTAGCCATTGATCTACTGGCTCCAGCGTTCGTTTCGACATTCTTCTAGTTGATACCACCATGTGCCTCAATTCAATAAACTGCTAAAGATTTTGAGACGTGTCTAGCTAACAAAACATTTAAATTTTTCTCAGATTCACCTCTTTATCTTATCATTTTCTATTTTTACACAATGTTAGATATTATCAATCTTTTTTTTACTATATTTTATTGTACTATGCAGAATGGCACAATTTAAATGACCACTTCTTTTTATAAAAAATCTTTTTTAACACATAATAAATACAATAATTCTCAAATTTAGTGGTTCTAATCAAATTCTATTTATATTCTTGGTGATAGATTTTATATTTATAATAGTTGATATTTCAATGATTATTATATATTATATTATATTGAGATTAGCAATATCTGAGAATAAACATTGGCAGATATTAATCAAAATTTTTTCCAATTGTTTTCTCAACTTTGTGTTTACCATATATTAAAATTGGAACATAAAAGATTAGAAAATATAAACAAGCAAGATATGTATCTGCTTCACAAAAATAAAATAATAACAAATAACTTATTTTAATTTGTCATAATTAATGAATCACACAGATTTATTGCTTTATTATGGCACAAGAATTATTAATTTTAATTAATTTTTAAAGTTAATGCTTTCGTAGTAATACTATAAATTAACATTAACAGTCTGTCTTACTACAGCTAGAACTTTGTGTGATATATTAAAATTAGAAATATAGCCTCTTTTAAATAAAATGTGTTTCTGTTAAACAGAAAACACTACGTAAATAAAGTAAATGATTGTACAAAACAAAATAAATCTTATTTCGCACGCGTAAAAAATACATATATATATATATATATATAAAATACGTAAACTGGATCAAATTTCACCGGAAAAAAAAATCTTAAGAGAGATCTCCTATATAATCAAACCATTATTTTGCGTAATGAATCACAAAATATGGATATGATTATAAAAAACAGGACAAGATCGACAATTTTTTCGTAAGAGTTCAGTTTCCAAACAAGATAATAAAAATTAATTTCTGTTGGAAAAATTTTTCGTCGCACAAGAGGCAACGTTATATCGCTACGACAAAAAAGACAAAGTACGATTGCACTTCGAGTTAATGCTTTCGTAGTAATACTATAAATTAACATTAACAGTCTGTCTTACTACAGCTAGAACTTTGTGTGATATGTTAAAATTAGAAATATAGCCTCTTTTAAATAAAATGTGTTTCTGTTAAACAGAAAACACTACGTAAATAAAGTAAATGATTGTACAAAACAAAATAAATCTTATTTCGCACGCGTAAAAAATACATATATATATATATATATATATAAAAAGTATCAATGGATTATCTAATATATATATATATATATATATATATAATATACATCCACACTTTTTTGAAGGGCCACAGTAAACGCGAATCGGCAAATTCTTTCGTCTTTCGACTTTCGATGCTTCGCAAAATTCAAGGTCGGGAAAAATCTGTTATCAGAAAAGATGGAGGTTTCGTCCTCTCGAAATCGGCAAGTTTCATCGGTCCTCGCGAAAATCGTAAGAATTGGTCTTCCAAGAGAGATCAATCTTCGCGAAATGTAAGGAGACTGAGAGAGAAAGATTGATCTCGCGCAAAAGATTCACGTTACTCCCTCACCTGCAATCTCGGCCAAACGATAGTCAGATCCTCTCGTCAAACAACGGCCATTTGACTTTTGAAACACAATACATGCCACACTTTACCCTTGAACCTTCACCTCTTTCCCCTTCCCCCTCCTATCGTCGTTTTACACGAAGTTCTCTAATTCGCTACTATTCGCTCTCACCTGTTAAACGATCGTGCATACGATTGTGATATCGATCGTATCAATTATAATCATTAATCATATTGACTTGCATCTGTACCTTGCATAAATCCACTTACTTGAACATTCTGTTGATTACGTTCACGCCGACACAACGGGCAACGGGCGTTCAAAGCGAATTAAGAAAAATCTTCGTAGAGAGTGCGCGATAAGATAGATAGAATACAAGTTAGTTATTCACGGTCTTACTTCTTGTGCGATGATCGTGTTTTCAAAGCACGGAACAGCGATAATGAAGATTCATCGATAGGATTCGGATGTCGTCACGCGATATCTCGTGTCCCTGCAGAGAGCGAAGCCCCTCGAAATAAACACATAGGTCAAATCGGCGGATACAAAAAAAAAGTGCGACGAGTGAAATCCTTGTGTATATAAGAAGCTGACAGGCGCGCTTGATTGGCCGACAATGCGAGCCAATCGTGCATTTTCAGTAATCCGACTTCCTCTCCCCCGCCCCGGCTAAACAAGTAGACGGGCGCCAAATTTCAATTCTATCCTAACTTCTATTTCACCTTGAAGAAAAATAGATAGCTCTTCAGAGAAAAGGTATCCTATAAATATTTTATTAGCACTTTACTTAATTAATGTATTATATTTTTTCCTTTGTATATTAATCTTATAAATGTTTATTTTTTATATATACATTATATATAAATTTTATTTCAATTTAAAACTATATTGAAAAAATGGAAAAATAGGATTCGTTTCTTTTAATCCTTGATATATTTTATCTTATAAAGAATTAATGTGCGCTTAATTGACGTTGATTATTTTGTAAATCTATTATGTTAATTTACCCGTGCTTCTTTTAAAAGCTCAATTTTGTATATTATCGTATATTATAAATTATATTGCCTAAAGAGAAATTCTATATAGAAAATTATTAATATAATAATAATATATAATACTAATATTCTTCACATCACATTTAGCGCTAATGTGATCAAAAATATTGTTATACACGACAAGTAAAGTTCATATATGCTTAAAGTTAAAATACATTTAAACAAAACAGATAAAATTAACTAATAAAATTTAATATAGGGTCGAGAAGAAAGAATAGATATCGATAGACTTTTTGTACAAATTACTTTTTTTTTATTTCTCGTAATAATTTCATCGGAATGACAATGCGATGTGTAAGAAATATTAGAAAAGTACAATAGCCCGTTTGTATAAAATATGATTTTTACATAAATATATAAGATCGGTAAGACCATTGCGTATGTGTGTGCTTCGGCAATGTTTGCTGTAACGCATCATGCAACACCACCGATGCCAATCTTGCCTGTTATATCGAAAATAACGAATATGCCCGCGCGTGCAACTGTCTCTCGATATAAAAAAACCACATCCTTCGGCGAGGAGACGACAATTCCGTGCGGTCTTTTGAGTTAGGCCTCCCCGTCTCGCGCAAAGTAAAATTTCTAACTCGCCATATTTATTAAAAATTTTCTTTCCCACGAGTTTCTCTCTAGCTGAGCAGCCGGATTTAGACAACGCTTTGTAGGTGTAATATTCACCGTATATTTAGCAACAAGAAGAATAGATGCAATAAGAGAGAAAAGGGGCAAGTTAGAAAAAGCTTCGAGCGAGACAAGGACTTACAGTTACTTAGATCCGCTCTCTCGTCCGATTGTTGTCGAATTATCTCTCGGGGCAGTTTAGTACCGAGATAGGATAGAGGCAGTAAAGCGGTATCATTATCGGCTACCCGATTCGACGTTGGACGTTTTGGATCGAGAGTTTTCTGATCTCTCGCCAGAAGGAAAATACGCCGATAACGACGCTAGGATAAGTATAATCATAGCATTACGATACTAATACAGTGCTTCGCATTCGCGCTTTTTTTTTCCTTGGCAATGTACGAATAATTGTTATAAAATGTCACGGATATAGAAAATGGAAGAAACGACGAGTGGCGCCGTCCCCGTTCCTTTCCTTCGTTCCTTTTCATAAGCGGCAGCTTCTCTAAGCGGCTATCTTTTCGGCGTCGATCGCTGAAAACATCGCGAATAACATTGTCTCGGTAAATAACGTGCGTCTAATTTCGGACGGACTTGATAATCGAGAACGAGTAACGTACCTTCTTTGGTAGGGAGGGGGTTCTTCTCGAGGGTTTCCGCGTGCTTCAATTTCGCCGGATCGAAGTTTTCGATACCGGAGATCAGCTGTTGCTTCCCCTTTTCTTGCTGGATAGCTGCAACGAGTGAAATAAAATTTCTTATTAGTTTACAATAATTTTTATTTTATTATTCTATAATAAATTCCAAGTTAACAATTTTAAACAAATAACATGCCAAACTTCAGCATAGTTATTCCACCAAGAAATAATAATAAAGCAAAATATGTGTATATATATAATACATATATCGTAAAACAAACATTTAAAAAAATATATTAAACAGAAAATTCTATCAAAAATTGGCGTTTCTTGATTTATTTTACCTCCATTATAAAATGAATAATAAAAATAGAACGGAACAGAAAGCTGGTCCGCTTTAAAACTAATCTCTGCTTTGGAAGATTAGCAATTCACGATTTCTCAATATCATTTGACGGAGTTCATTTATTCTGTACATAAGCCAATTTATAAAAACCTGACTTATACTGTACCATCTTTATCGGGTAGCGGATTTTTCTCCTGGGTCTCGGTATGCTTCAGACTCGCGGTGTCGAACTTCTCGATACCGGCAATCAGCGTTTGCTGGGTCTTCTCCGCGGCAACGTCTGGAAGTGGGACGATCGATCTCAGAAACGGCAATGGATAATAATTACACGTAAGTAGAATCGAGAAGCGTGTCACCTTGTCTTGATATAGATTTACTATATCCAGTTGGTGGCCTAGTTTCGAATACGATTAGCGAGGAATAAATTCAAAAAATTATTGTCGCGATTTATACGCCGCGCAATCGACGAGCGCAACGCGATCAATCAATGACTAGTACCGTTCGTTGTCCTTTCTTTATAAGGCGCTTGTCTATTAATGCTTCACGCAGATAAAATCTATGCACTTCCACACATACGAGACAAAATTACGTTTTATATTTGAATTCAAATTAAAATCTCCATGGAAATTAAAATTTTCTAGTAAATTTTAAATATATATAATTAATAAGCAAATTATCAATTTATGTTTTTGAATTTATTCTCTTTAATATTGTTTAACTTACTGCTACATTGTGATATATGAAATATCTTAGAACACCTGAATTTAATTTTCATTTCATTCTAATAATTAATTTTAATTTCAATTTAATTTTTTTCTCCAACTGTATTTATATTTTAATTTACATTAGAGATGTGTAATTTATAGAAAGTCTTGAAAATTTATAGTGGCTTTATAATTCAAAATTTTTCAATTTTGCGATATTTTAGTTGAGAAAATATTAATTTCAAATCGAATCAAGGAATTCGTATAAAATAAAAGAAGGAATCTATTGTAGAAAGATGTACATACAGAGTTACTCTTTCTTGCATAAGTTACTTTTTAAATATCTATTCTCTTATAAAATTATGTAGCAAAAAGTTAATGACAAAGAAAAAAAAAACAAGCAAAATGACCCGTAAAATACCATCACCAAAGCCATCACAGTTCCCTTCATTGCCGCTGTTTTATTTTAAAGTAAAGCTTTATGCGACCAATCATGTTCCGAAAATCAAAAGCGGTAGTTGTCCCTTTTCACAGCGCTACCGTGAAATGACTAAGGGAATAAGACTGGAAATCGAGAAGCGGCGTCCCAGAAGCTCCATCGGTATTAAGGAGCAATACCTTTGGCATTAGGCAATACCATCTTCTCTTTTGTATCGGCATGCTTCAACTGATCTGCCTTAAATGTCTCCAGGCCATGTATCAACTCAGAGTGCTGCCGCTCCTGTCGTACGTCTACGTCAGCAATTCACACATTTTTATAGCAGCTGCAGTCGTTTTTATCGAAGCTCCGCTCGCGCTTCAATATTTCCTCGCGCCCCGCATTTAGCGCTAAACGTATGAGTCTTGATCCGATTATGAGTTTTACTTGAATAAAGAGATAAAGATTGAAAGTTTTTATTTCAATTGGAAGTCGCCGCGCGTACACGTTTAGCGCTAAATGTATTTAAGGGCAGATATGGACCTAAATGAAGACTCGTGCATAGATTTTGAAATATATTAATATGAACATAATTCCACATGAAAAATTTTTGTTATTATAAAAATGATATAGAACATAAAGAATTTGTGCGCAATATACACAGAAAAATAATTTGATGAAATATCAAAACCAAACACACATTAACACATATTAACACATCAAGTTATATATCAATTAATCAAATATATTAATTGTGAAATTAATAGAGAGTGCAAATGCAAAAGTCAAACACAATCATTAAACTTTGTATACATTATGAGCAAAATGTAAAAGTAAGATGACACTAATGGAAATTAATTTCGAGTAGAGTTGATCGAAATGTATTTTTACGCACCTTCAGCGGAAGGTAAAACGTTCTTCTCGGCAGTAGCGGCTTTTTTCATACAGCCGTGATTGAAACCTTCCAGCTCGCTTTTCAGGTCTAGGGCTACTTTGGGCAGGTCTTTCAACGATGGACTCGACATTTTTCAACCTTGTACTTCTTGATCTGTAAGACAGAAATATTGTAAGGTCAATCACCTCTTCGTCGAACGGACACGTCTTGAATAAATCGAACTTGTAAATCTAGGCAATGGCAGTCCTTTAATATTCACGTGGATATTTTATTAATTCACATTTTGTATGTTCTATAAGCGTGTAACGATCATTTTATTACTTCAAATTTCTTGACAAATTTAAGATTCAAACTGTGTTAAAAAATGTTAATGCGCAAATAATCAATCGTTATAATCCGAAGTATGTTGTCGATTAATATCGATTAGTATGCAATGCAAATACCGGATATGGACGATCTCTCTCTCTCTTTCTCTCTCTCTCACTCTCATCTTTCTTCTTAAAATATTTTCTACAACGCGTGACAAAAAAATAATAAAAATTTAATCATCTTTCTAAAGTGACACATTTTTTTTTTAAATTTCTTGTGCTATTATCATGATTCGAATTCCGATTAAATTATAATTATCATAATAAAAGAAAGCAAGTATGTGGTCATCACTGATATGCAATTTTGTAATCTTTAGAAAAATTTTAGAGAATTTTGTGTATTAATGTTTGAGTTATCTCACATTCTTGTCCCTATATATGATAATAATGTGAAAGAACGGTGACACAGCAAGCATTAGGAATGCCTTCATCTTCGGGTTTGGCATTTTTGGGTCGGACATATCATGTCCAGACATTCATGCATCATGACTCTGTTGGTTCTGAAAGAATTGGCAACGTTATTCTTGAATAGGAGATGAAAAAAGTTATGCTAACTTTATATTATAAATCATTTTAATAGCTCAAATAGCTGTCAAACTATTCTTTATAAAAATTTTGATTCGTCTCAGAACCGACAGTCTAGACACGATGTGCGAAAATGTCGAACCCGGAAGTGAAGGCACGCCTTCTGCACGAGCACCTGCTTGTATCAATTTAGCGTCCTGGAGAACAGTGAATAACGGAACGTGCATATCGCGCAAGTTATTAAACATACGAAAATAATTTCCATATAAGGTGAATATATAGGCAAGAGAGAAAGAGACGCGCCATTTCCAATCGTCAGCGAACATGTGGCAGTTTCTTTCGTCGAACCGCACCACCAGCAATCTGCGCTGACAACAGCGGTTGCTATTGAATACCAACGAAGCTGTTACAAATGAAGCTATCGACAGCGACGTCGGAATTGCACATCGCATTGTCGCGATAGCGCAAATGCAGCGGAACTTTATTTGCAAATATTTTCTCGACTGACAATGAGATTTCGTTGATGCAAGACTTTAATTGAAAAATAAAGAGAGATATAAAATATGTAGATAAAATATATAGATAAATAATATACGCGAATTTTTTAATCTTGAAGATCTGTACACTTTTTAAGATTCATACTTTAGAATTTTATAATTTTGTTCCGAGTATACCAAATGAATATCGTATCTTCGCAAGTCTCAGACGCACACTTCTCTCTCTTTAATAAAATAAAAAAGATAACATTTAATTCTATGTTAAATTTAAAAAATATTATATAATTACATTAGAAGTAAAATACATATTAATAAAATTAATAACGGATTCTCTCAGATATTAAATTATAAATTGTGTGTGCGTGCGAAAAGCAGAAAGAAAAAAGGCAAGAAAGGAATGCATTGATAATGATTTAGAAAATTATGTGAAAAATCCGATTCATCTGCTAAAATTAAAAGCGTAATGTTTGACCGACGACTGACGTTTATGTGTCACGCAGCGGAAACAGCGGTGGTTCATTGCTTCCGGTCTCCGTTTCCTTCTAATACATTTCGTTTCTTGTCACATTTCCCTCGCAAATACAGCAACTTCGTCGGCGTAAAGTTGCTAAAGTCGTGATCGTTAAAACAAAAAAAAAATACTTCTCAGATAATTTCTCAAATGTGAAAATTAAATAATTAATTATAGTCTACTTATGATCGAGACAGTAACGCGATCATTATATGGCAACGCGTTAAGGTACAACGTTTAATTCAGTGAATAATAAAGTCTTCGATAATAATCTTTGCGCATTTTCGTATTTATGTCAGTAGGAGAATCCAATATCTCTAATCTTTTACTTCGTGCTACACGTGTAAGATATTACGCTACAGCTGATTTCGTCCCCGCCTATCATTCGTTATTTACGATAATGACGTATCGAGAGAGGGACTCTGATAAATATGCTCTACGACAATATCCTTCCTTCTTTTCGCCGTAGAACACGATCGTAATTTCACAAAATATTACATCGTATATTAAAATTAAATTACACCTACAAATAAGTATATATTTTGTCGCAAATACATTCAGTAATTTAGTAATTAAAAAAATTCTTTTTTCAAATAAAAAAAAGATAATTCTCAGAAATATTATAAATAAAACAATTTTTTACACGATTCGCATATCATTTCGAACAAGTTTTCCTCTTTCTGCGCAAAGAGAGAATTCGATCCCCCGGCAACATCGGATCAAACATTGCTCCGATGTGAATAATTGATAGTTGCGGCACGAAATCGACGTCGCGTCGTCGCGTCTGTGGATTGTGTACACTTATACATCCGTATGTACACGTCTTGTGTATCGAAACCCCAGTATTGGCGACGCGTTTATGCATTAAACTGTCAATGACTCATTCTCGTCGAGTACCCCCTTTCTCCCAACGCGCTCCTCGTCAGCGTTCGCGATCGCGCGCGTTCAGGCAGACTTAAAACTTCATCTGATTCAACGTAAAAAAATGTAAAAAAAAAAAAAGAACGCAATACTAATTATACGTACGTGGGCGATCGGTATCAATCGACGTTTCACTCCCACGTGTTTTTTTTCTAATAACAACGTTTTGCGTTTTGTGATGAAATCGATCTCTATGCGTGCGCGTTGCACGCGTAGCGAATGCATTTTCCGACAATAAGACAGATTAACGTTCCATTATTCATATCCATTGCAACATCAATTACATTATTTCATGATTTATTACGTAAGTTGTATTAATTACATAATTTAATCACGCGTAAAAAAAAAAAAAAAAAAAAAAAAAAAAAAAAAAAAAAGATTATTTATCCATGTTTGTGCGTACAAAGTATGAAATGTTCCTCTTTATCGTGTTATATAATATATTATTTGTGGATCACAAGAACTCGTCGGAAAGCAAATAACGATACGGCATCAAATTTGCTCATGCGCGAGCAAATTCTCAGGTAAGAATAAAAGATATGCAGAGTAAGAAAAGGTCTGCATTCCACGTGGGTGAAGTCACGTAGGAGGACTACACTCGGATATTACTAACCGGCATTATCAGTACGCAGCATTAATTATGATACACGGTGCAAGGCCGTCGTTTTCACGTGGCTGCATTTTTTTTGCTTTTACAAAACAATGACCATAGAAACGGGAAACAAAGATCGAAAGGATAAACGATATTTTGCAAACAGTAAATCCATCGTTGAAATTTTTATTCGCGTTTTCGAATTATAATAGAATATTAAAAACATACAGGGAAAATTAAAAAGATAAATAAGCGGAATTTCGAGCCTACTCCGAGCTTCGGGCCCACGATACACGGCCCTGGAGAATCGCGAGAGAGGTTTTCGAGAGATACGTTCAAACGGTGGGTCAGCATCGACAAGGCTGTGTGTAGGTCCTTATATGGTAGCCGGTTGTATACGTCTGTATATAGGGAGAGCAGCACGAAGGAGGCCGAATGTATACGCAAGCAGCGGGAGAGTTCGTTGCGCGCGTCCTTTACGTATCTCTGCTTTGCTGATTTTTTTTTTCTTTTCATTTCGCACGCCTGTGTGTGGGTGTATTGAGCATATATGTATGTATAAGACTCGCGTACTCGGCTGTACATAACGGTAAGAGATGATCTCTCGATCGCGATGAAACGTGCCCGGATAAAACTCGATAATTCCCGACTTTCACGGCCAGTTCCCGATAGAAAATGCTCGTGTCGCAAAGCTATTGTCGAGCGATGCGCAAAACAATAAGAAAGCAACCTTGGCAGACGTCAAAACATCGAATGATTTACACCGTTAACTGAGATGAAAAAATTACTTTGAGAATTTTCAGGGGCATGCGTTTACGATTTTCATTTTAAATCAATTTAGATGTAAAGATCTATATCTTTTATTCAGTGTAATAAGTATAATTATATATTTTTGTAATCAATCATTTTGCATATCAATCAATCTGCCAACTTTCAAATGAAATTTTAATCATGTGCTAAGACATTGTAATAAGTAATTTTTAATTAATAAAAGTTATAGACTTTCGACGATAATTTAATATTTTTTCTAATAAAACGTCTCTCTTCTTCTTTCAGCGTCTTTCATTAATTAAGCTTCATTTGAATATTATTGCGGATGTTCGACGCGTTTCGAGATGAAGCAAGGAGAATTACGAGCGCTTTTAATCGGCAAAAAGCGCCGTAACAACGACCGTTAGTTCCGTTTAATTGAACATCCGTGGATCTTAGTCGTGGCCGATTGGAGGACGAGCCTCTTATTGCAAATGAACTTAATGAAGCGCGAGAGCCGTGCCTTCGGTGAAACTCGGATAAATCCCGCGCGATCTTCCCGAGTGGATTCGCGTCTCTCGAGGTGAAAAGCGGGACCTACGAGAAGTTAATAGGAAAACTGGGTTGCCGAGATGCGTTGGCAGAACTCGACGACAGAGACGAGTCATCGAGATAGATTAAGGCTGATCCCAGGATAGATTAAGGCTGATATTTCATACGAATGTGCGTGTCTACAAGATGCAATTTTTAATATTTTATTTAAACGAGAAAACTATGCAAGTATGGCTCTAGGTCAAACGGTAGCATCATTAGCACTCGGCTCGTGAATATTATCCATATTAGAAACTGCGGTATCCGATGATATCTCTCTATTTAGCTTATTTAGCGAATATCTCGAGATGTTTAATCGATACATTTTGTTAACGAATTATTGAATTATTTGTTAGGAAAAATTCTATTTGAAATTACTGAGAGATTTCTTACAACAG